CAGGATTTGATCCCACAATGCAAAGGAACACAGGAGTAATGCTTTTCAGGCAGGATTTATCCAAATTTTCCCAACACTTTCTTGCTAGAAAACAAAATATTTTCACTCCACCTTACTTTCGAGTAGCAGAGTAGAATAAGTAAAATTATACCCTTATTTGAACCCAATCAGTTAAGTAATTGTTATCAGCATTTGAATCGTAGAAGGTGTGACACTGACATAGGGGGACTTTTTCTACGCAGCATGGATTAACAGCTGTTTATCTCCTGAACAACTCAATGGACCAAGTTCTCATGCCACACTCCACAACCTACAAGTTTACTGCAGGTGACACTCTCTCCCATTAGTCCAGTTTTCACACCAGTGGGTTATCATTATGAGTGCACCAGGTCAGCATTGGGAGATCTGCCTCTTCCCTGTACAGAGTAGGCCTCACTGGTTAAAGCAAACAATTCAGGTCAATTACTCTTTTTTCTGTCTGAAAAGCATTACAAATAACTTTGCGGGGGGCAGCTGCTGGTGGTGGTTTGGGGTGCCATGTGAGAGCAGAAAATGATTGATGCTTATGGTATTCTATAGGGAAAAGGAGAGGTGCTTGTAGGTTTTTCCATCTGAGGGACCAAAATAATTTGACAGGTCTTGAATACTCTTGACAGTGGATGGGCTGAGGGAGTATCTATCTGCCTTTCTGTCTCATACAGCGAAGTATCTCTGTTCAGCCACTTGAAATACATTCAGAGAAAGCAAAGGCAGCTGAAGACAGAAGCTTGAGGAAGTATAAATTGCTGTGTTCTGATGTTAATAGTTCTATCAGCGGCCACTAAATCATTATCATTGCCATCATTTATTTTTATCTCACTTTCCCCTCCAAAAGTAAGCACAGTGTCAGATAGAAATATAATCCAAAATATACAGAATTTTATTATATACACATATAATAATAAAAATACTAAAATAAACCTGTACACAGAATTTCATTGCAGGTCTTAACACATACAGTAAATAATACAGAATAACACATACAAAATATTATTACCTCTGTTTGCCAGTTGCTCGGATGCTGTTGCTCTCATCTGCTTGAGGGCTTCTCATGGGCAGCTGCTAGAACACTGTGTCAGGTTAGCCAGGTGTCCTGCTTCAGAGGACAATCCTCTATTTTGGCACACTGGCAGAGAATGATCACCTTGGTGCCCTGTCTTTGTTTGATGGGCTCTTCAGTCTGAGTCTGATTTCACCTCAAAAAGGTTGTGAGAATTGCACACAGGTTCCTTGATGTTGTCCATCAACAGTTAGCACTGCATAGCCAGCTGAGCAGTCACAAAGGTCTCTTGGTCAATCTTCTCCACTTCAGTAAGATGTTTTTCATTACTATTTCAATAACAGTAATTCTAAATTTGAAACAATTAATATAATTTGCATAGACAAATATTATGCAAACTGGTGGCTTTTTTTTGGTAATGCACAAGTGGCTATTCTAGAAAATAAATGCTGGACCAGATAGGCCTTTGCTCTTTGCCATTCTGTGATCTAGGCTTAATGTGACTGAGATGTCTTTCTTTCTCTTGCACCACTATAATCCCCGTTCTACCAGCAGATCTGTAATTAAACTGATTTTGATTTTTAAAAATACTAAGCTGTAAGCCTTCAGTGCTCTCTTATCTAAATTGAATGGATTTCACAATGACAGTATAATCTCTTACTACCAATTGGAGAAAGAAATAGAAGCACAGTTAGGTTCCTGCTGATTCAACTTTTTGGCAGGTCCACAGACAAGAATTTAGAACAGCTAAGCATGGATGTCATGGATAGGACACTTTGGAGGGCTTTCATTCATAGAGTTGCCATAAGCCAGAGACGACTTGATGGCACATAGCAGCAGCAACAACAGACAAGAAACCTTCCATAGGCCTCCTTTCTCCTCACCACTATTGCCCCTTATTATTTATTTATTTGATTCATATGCTGCCCCTTTAGCCATAGAAACATAGAAAACGAGCGAGTCAGAAGGGGCCTCCCGGGCCATCTAGTCTAACCTCCGGCACCAGCCGGCTCCACTCACGACATGCCCACCATGTGGACATCCAGCCTATCCTTGAACACCCGCACCAATGGGGCCTCAACCACCTCCCAGGGAAGCCCATTCCACACCCTCGGGGTCCTGACTGTCAGGAAGTGCTTCCTGGCATCCAAATGGAACCTTGGCTCTCTGAGCTTTGCTCCATTGGAGTGTGTCCTGCCTTCCTCTGCAGGGGAGAACAGGGCTCTACCCATCTCCATGTGACATCCCCTCACATACCTGTATGTCACCAACAGATCCCCTCTGAGTCTCTTCCAGGCTGAAGAGACCCAGTTCCCTCAGTCTCTCCTCATACGGCATCCCCTGCAAACCGGCCACCAACCTTGAGGCCCTACACTGCACTGACTCTAACCTGACTATATCCTTTCTGTAATGAGGGGCCCAAAACTGAACACAATACTCCAGTTGTGGGCACACTAGAGTCATGCAGAGTGGTAGTAATACCTCTCTTGATCTAGAAGCCACACTTCTGGCTATGCAACCAAGGGTGGCGTTCGCCCTCTTGACCACCGCATCACACTGCTGACTCATGTTTAGCCTGCAGTCAACCAGTACCCCGAGGTCCCTTTCACAAGTGCTGCTCTCCAGCCACTTGTCACTTAACCTGTACTTATGACACCTATTCGTATGGCCCAAGTGCAAGACCTTGCACTTATCCACATTGAACGCCATCCTGTTGTCTCCTGCCCACTTTCATAGTCTGTCCAGATCCTTTTGGATCTGGAGTACCTGCTCCTCAGTTGTGGCCACTGCTCCAGTTTTAGTGTTGTCTGCGAATTTGATCAGCAGATTGTTCACCCCTTCTTCCATGTTGTTAATGAAAAGATTAAACAGGATCGGCCCCAGGACAGAGCCCTGGGGGACCCCGCTTGTCACTGGCCACCATCCCGATGATTCCCCGCTAATGGTGACCTTCTGCTTTCAGTCAGTCAACCATGCCCTAATCCACTGGACAGTGCTTTGGTGTATCCCAAAACTCCTCAGTTTCTCCACCAGGATATCATGGGGCACTTTGTGAGAGGCCTTGCTGAAATCCAGGTATACCACATCCACTGCATCCCCTCCATCTAGCCATCTCGAAACCTTGTCATAGAACTCCACAAGGTTTGTCTGGCAGGACCTGTTTTTGCGGAAGCCGTGTTGTGTGGCTGTCAGCCTCCCTTCCCTATCTAGCATCACTAGATCTCTCTCTATTATGAGCCTTTCCAATGTTTTTCCTACAATGGACGTAAGGCTAACCGGTCTGTAATTCCCCATGTCCCTTTTACTACCCCTTTTGAAAATTGGGACCACTGATGCCACCCTCCAGTCCTCTGGAACTTCACCTGTTCTCCACAAGGTCTCAAAAATGGAGGCCAGCAGGCGTGAGAGAACCCCTGCCAACTCTCTAAGTACGCTCGGGTGTAATCCGTCAGGGCCTGGCGCCTTTGTAATGTCCAATGCCCTAAGGAGCCCCTCGACTTCAAGGGAGGTGACTCTAATCAGTGCCCCTAAGTCCCCAGCCTCATCTAATCTCCTATGAGGATATCCCCCATCCTGCTTTGGGGAGAACATAGAGGCAAAATAGTCATTTAGCATCTGTGCCTGTTCCCTCATATCAGTCACTGGATCTCCTTCCTCCTTATTTAGCGGTCCCACCACTTGTCTCCCCTTCCTCTTCCTATTTATATGCTGAAAGAAGCCCTTGATATTCTTGGCAAGTCTCAGCTCGTAATCAGCCTTAGCCTTGCGAAGAATCCTGCAACGGGCCTCCTCCTCCCAGTATACCCTTTTGTCTATTTTCCCCAGTACCCATTTCCTACGGAGGTTCCTCTTTAGTCTAATCCCTCTAACCACCTCCTTTCGCATCCATGGCAGTGCTCTCCTCTGCCTCTCTACCTTACTAACTAGAGGTATTGTCAAGGCTTGCACCTCCAAAACCTCCCTTTTGAGTGCTATCGACCCCTCCTCAACTTGCTTACCTTCCAGTAACCTATCCCAGGAGACATTCCCCAGTCTGGCCTTCAGCTGGCCAAAGTTGGCCCTCTTGAAGTCCCAGCTTCTAGTGCTCAACCTGCTGCCCGTCCGCAGTCCCCTGATCTCAAAGCAAAGGATGGAGTGATCACTCGCATCCAGAGCTCCCCTAATCTGGACTTCATCTATCAGCTCCTCCCTACTGGTCAAGACCAAGTCAAGGATGTTTCCCTCCCTCGTCGCCTCTCGGAGATAGGCTCTCTGGGAGGCTTCCTTGCACTCTCCCTCAGGACTCAAGCCTCACTACTACCCACTGCATAGGGAAACAACCTCTTTTAGCCCGAGGGCCGAATTTCACGGAAAATGTCGGGGCCCCTTTCCAGTGGTAGTCAGGCCAAAGATAAAGGAGACGGGGTTGACGGGGTAAAAGCCAAAAAACAACAACATCCAATTGCAGTTTACAGCTCTCACAGGCTATAACTAAGCCTTGGGAGAGGCATTTAGAGGGATGAGCAGCAAAGGGGACTACATAATCCATCATCCAACCATCCGCTGGAGGAAAGGGGGTGTGCCCTGGGATGGTGCCCCAGAACCAGGCGTCCTAATCCACCCCTGAGCCGAAGGAAATAGAGAAGGCAAGCAGAGGCCGCTGCTGCTCCTTAGCCTGGCTTTTTTCATTATCTGCTAGTTGGGAGATGCACCTGGAAGGCACCCAGTTGGGGAAGACAAAATTAAATTTACTGAACTAGCTCCGAAAAGTTATACTTTCCCAAAACTACACCCCCTAGCATGCAATGCGACATCCACATCTAAGGGGGGGGTCAACGCCCACAAGCCATTGCGCACGAGAGTCTCATGCCAGCGCCCATCTATAGGCAAAAGACAGTCGAATGATTTCCGCACTAACTACGTAGCAGCGAAGGGTGGGGGAAACTCCTCCTACTTATTTCTCGTGCATAATTAGCAGCTATTTAGCATAACGTCAATGGTGAGCTGGTCTCATCTCGTCCTCCCCGTTTCTACAGCAGCCAATTGGGGACGAACGCCTGTGGTGACCTCAGAGGTAGTCTGCAGAAAGAGCTTGCACACGTTCAGGGCGGAAGGAGGGAATCGACTGAGTGCCAAGCCAGGAGGAACTGCCGCCGCCGCCGCCGCAATAATGGTGGGTGCTTTGCAGTCCGCTTGTGCTGCGAAGTTCAGGAGGGTGCGCTGCAGAGGGCATGCGGGCGACCTGTTAGGGTTCAGCAAGCCACGCACCTGAAGTCAGAGGCAGGGCCGCTGCTTATTAGCGCAGTCTCGAGTCACCTTGAAGGAGAAAACAGGCAGGAATCCGGTAGTCTTACCAGGATGTACATGGGAGCTGGAAAGAGTTGCTTGCAATGAGAAACGCTCGTGTGTGTCGCTTGGATTGTTTCTGGTGCTGTTTCTTCTACAAATAACCGGCTTTTTTCTGGTTCTGTTTGTTTTACAGTGTGACTTCACAGAAGATCAGACTGCTGGTAGGTGCTTTCCTTTCTCCACGCCATCTCTCACTTTTGGGAACTGGGAACTTGGGAACTGGGGGTTGGGGTACCCAAGTACCGTGTCGATACCTCAGTCTTTTAGGATCTCTTACCCCTGTTATTATAAGCTTTAAACATAGGAGTCCAAACTCCAGATAGTGGCCTGGTTGGGATTACAACTCTTTTTCCTTCCTTTGATTCTTCTAGCTTTTCTTTCCTTTCTACCTACCTCATATCTCTTGATTACAGCCCCTCGATGGTGAGTTGAGTGTGTGAGGACAAAGCATTACCCCGTCTTACTAACAGATATCCCAGCCCTTTTGTCATGCATCCATTCCACCCTTTTCTTTCTGTGGATTTGTATCTAACTCTCTGTCATTAGGCTAAGCTTCTTTTTTCTTGGTTATTTTGAGCAGGTCGTTCTGATTTTAAGCTTTATTTGCATCTTCCCCTAACTCTTAAAAGTCATCCCCACCTTCTGCTCTGCTCTGCACAGGAATTTGTACTTTTCCTCTGCATGTCTCATGCATGATGTATTTCCTGGTTTAAGCCTTCTGAAAGGACCCACCCAGATCCCGCCAACAGCCTCCATTGTCAGTTTCACAACCAAATGCTTTGTGTGGCTCTGTTTTCAAAGCTGTATCAGAGAAATGCTGCTGTGTGTTTGTGTGCAGGTGTGTGTGTGTGAAACCAGAGTAGAATTGCGCATTTAAGCGTTTTCAAGCAGCAGGGTCCATCCCTTACGTCTTGCGTGAAGACAGGATGTGATTGAAGAAGGCGGGTGGAAATGGCTGCTTACCTTTGCCTCCTTAGGCCAGCATCTGGTGATAAATGCCCAGAATCCAGCTGGATTTGGGAAGAGAAGTTTCCCATACACCCTCTGGAGCAGCTCCAAATCCTCCACCTTCTAACTTTTTGAACTACTCTCTCTCTCCTCTGTATGGAGGAAAGAAATTTCAAATGCACAAAGATGGGCGCCTGGGATTGTATTCTCTTAAGTTTCCTTATATGGGCAGGAAACTAATTTCTGAGCAGGCAGGGCTGGGAGCTCCTGCACTGGTACATTCCAGCCTGCTTCCCGGGTGTTGGAAAGCAAATGAGGACAGATTCCTTGGCAAAGAAGTCTTGCAAGTCAAACAGGAAGAGAGCAAATTTAACACGGTTCCTGGCTGGTTACACTTCACATCCCTATCTAAGTTAGCATTAATAGTTGCGCATTGCATGGAATGGGGTTAGGGGAGCTCATTGCTTGGTCCTAAAGTCTTATTCCTCTTGCTTGTGCTAGTTGCCAGCATGTTTTGTACATAAATGTTTTGAGATACTGCTGCCAAATAGAGCTAAGGTTTTTAAAACTTAGATGAACTTGATTGTTTAAAAAGTTTAAAAGTTTTTCCACTCCATGATGACTGATAGTTTTGTAATATGTAGACATATCCAATTAACAATCTAAAGATATATTTAAGAATCTCCTGGAGGAAGGAGAACCATGTCTTTCAAGTGTAACCTTACAAGGTAACAAAAGGTACTACTGAAGACGTCATGGCCATCTTATTTTTCAGTGCATCTAGGACTATCATCACATTAAGAGAGCCAAATTGACTGCAAAGGGGAGCATATTTAAGGCTCTTCCATAGTATGAAAGCCTCAACTTTGAAAGATAGATTTTAACAACTCACTTCAGTTGAGCGCTTTCAGGCACTGCACCAAATAGCCAGTATTGTAGAGAGTTATAGGAAGTGAGCACTGGGATAACCTATTTGTTGTGCTTGGTTCCTTGGTGGAAGCAGCTACAATGTCCAGGAATGTATCAGCTGGAGAAAGTTTAAATTAGCATTCAAATCTGGACCCCAACTTGTTGCTCTTCTAACAAGCCAAGATGTGGAAGTCAACTACAAGCCCCTGGTTCAAATGTAACTCTAAAATCTTTCTAGCCTGTACATTCATGGTGGTATAGCCACTCCTGCTAACAGGTTGTGTACATTTGTTTGCTGACAATTCTGATGTATTGGTAACAATTCCTGCTTTTCTGTGTGTGGTTTTTCTTACAAAAAGAAAAAGCTCCTGAAGTAGCAGCTCTTCCAGAATGACTTAGCTGCTAGATGTGGACATGGAAAAATAATTATCATCAGATTTGGGGCAGGACGAAGGCTAGTCTTGCATGATCATAGAATAGTGGAGTTGGAAGGGGCCATGAATGCCATCAGGTCTACCCCACTGCTGTTGCAGGTCACCAGTTTACACCATCCCACTCACATGCCTGTCCAGTTTCTTTTTGAATGCCCCTAGTGTAGGAGAGTCCTCAACCTCTACAGGGAGCTGGTTGCACTGTTGTATTGCTCTGACAGTTAGAAAACTTTTCCTGATATCTAGCCTGAATCAGGGTGGTTGCAACTTGAACTGATTATTCTGTGTCCCATGCTCTGGTATAAGATCTTGACCTTCTTCTGTGTGGCAGCCATTTAGGTACTTATAAAGTGTCTGAACATGCCTGGTTCTCACAGTCTTTCCTCACAGGACAATATTTCCAACTCTGGATCATTTTTGTTACTCTCCTCGGGACCCCTTCTAATTTTTTGCATCTTTCTTAAATTGTGGTTCTCATAACTGGATGCCATATTCCACATGAGGTCTAACTAGTGAAGAGTATAGGTGAAATATTATTACTTCTCATGATTTGGAAGTAATACTTCTATTAATGCATCTCAAAACAGCATTTGCCCTTTTTTTTTGCAGCTGCCCTTTTTTGTTGACTCATATTTAGGCTGTTGTCCACAATAACACCAAGGTCTTTTTCCTTGTAAGTTCTCTTGAGCCATGTATTCCCCCTCTTGTATCAATGCATTTGGTTTCCTTTATCTAGGTGGAGGACTTCACATTTGCCCCTGTTGAATCTCATTCTGTAGCTTTCAGCCCAGTGTTTAAACTTATCAAGATTGCTTGGATCTTCATTCTGTCTTCCAGGGTGTTCACTATTTCACCTAGTTTTGTAGTTGTTGAACAGCACTGGAGCCAGGACTGAACCGTGCAGCAGCACCCCACTAGTTGCCTTTCTCCAGTTTGAGAGGGCTCTTCTTGTTCATGTTAGCAGCTGATTTTGGATGTACCTAATAGTTTTTCTATCTACTCTATTTTTTGCTAGTTTGCTTATCAGGATGTAATAATTGACACTTAACAACAAGGCAAGTCTCTTAATTCTTAACTACACTAGTGAACTGTTTTGGTGGTGTGGAATTAACATCTGAGTGGATTAATTCTACTACTAAACATTGTAGCCCTGGACTGGGAGAGGCCAGGAACAGCTCAGCAAGAGATGCCTGTCAGAATAAAGTCCTGGGTTCAGCCCCTGCTATTTCTAGTTAATGCAGCTTGGATGAAAGTGCGGAGTGCCCTCTGTCTGGATCCTTGGAAAGGGGAGTCCAGAGATGGGGTTGATATTAGGCTGTGTCACATGTTCCTAAAAAATTGGTATCTCCTCAGGCAGGGAAGGAAGTGGGGGAGGTTAGAATGTTGAATTAAAAATAGAAATCAGAAAAGTGGGGGTTGGTCAGTGTGAGTTTGGTTTCTGTTTTCTCTTTCTACCCACCAGCACCTGAATTGGTGTAGGAATATATCTGATAAAACACTGCAAACAGCAAACAGACTTTAGGATGTTAGAATTGCAGATGGCAACCTTGTGTGGTGATTTTGCTCTAGGAGGGTAGTGGGACTTTGTGATCCTCACACATTTATTTCCCTGCATAGATAGGCACCTTTGTTTGTTTGGGACTTTTCTATCTCGCCCTATACATAGTCTATCAATGTCTGTTAATTACCTTGTTCTCCCCCCCCGCCAGCTTCATAAGCCTGGTTTTGAGCAGGTGTTCTGCTTATTCTGTGCTGCCAGTTTCATGATGGAGACAGGGAGTGTGAGGATATGAGTCTCTGCAGCATGGGCTGGGCTCCCTTGGTCTCAGTCCAGTCGCGAGTGCGGGTGGCTGCCTGCTGCAGAGAGAGGTTCATCCCCGGTGCGCGGAGGGCAGCAAGGCCAGGGTGCAGGGAGTGTGGTGAGGTGCGGTCATCTACCACTGCAATGCTGGTCTGCCTTGCCTGCTTCATTTCCTCTCTGCTTTGTACACTTCTGTTGACACGTATCCTAGCACACAGGGGGAGGTTTGGGGGTGATATAAACTAGGTTATCAGTGTAATCCAGCAGAAGTGGACGGGGCTGTAGCTGAGTGGGAAAGCACCTGTGCTGAACACATAAGGTCCGTGCTTCATCCCTGGCATCTTCTCATTGGGTTAGGGAAAAAACCCCTGCTGAAAACCAAGGAAAGCCATTGATACTGGTTGGTACTGACATACTGGGCTAGATGGACCCATGGCCTGCCTCAGTATGAGTCTTGTGTTTTACAGAGGGCATGAGCGTGAAAGGAGCTGCAATTTCTGGAGGCTTCTCTCTGGTCCCTTTGGTCAATCAGGGCAATGCTTTTTACATCTCTGGGTCACACGCTGCTCCTTGAAATAATACTTGTCTTGTGCAGTTGAGATCCTGCTGGTAGCTTAAATGGTGTTACCATAACTGTAGTGTGTGTGAGAGAGCGACACACACACACACACACACACACACACACACGTATCTCTGGCTATTTTTGCCATCATTTAAAAGATGGGGATGTTGAGTAGCTGCTTTCTTAAGGTGGGAGGCTTTGAGGTAATTAATGCGCAAGCATCTTTAGCCACATGTCCAGAGCAATTAGCAGTTATAGAAGTGTGGCTAGGTAAAGAGCATCTTTGGAGATTGTGGACAAGATAATCTCCATGGCAGACATTCAGTCTGTGGCACTGGGACAGGCACGCACATGGAACTGCAGTATATGAGCATCTTCGCTGACCTTGATTAAGTTTTCCTCTTAATCCTTGTTTGGATCCTTGATCCTTGTTTGGATTCTGACAAATAGAATCGAGGCTGTTTCTGACTCTGTTCTGCTCAAAACCTGCTGCTGATAGCGCGCTTGGTCTCAGAGACCCCAAATGTACCTTTGGGGAGCTGGTGGCAACAGCAGCTGCTCTCAGCGCCCAGTGGGAGAAAACATGCTCTTCTTGGAGCACCCACTGCTGCCCCCACCAGTGTCCAGGTGAGAGTTTTTTGCAGAGAATTTAGGGATGATGCAGGCTTTCAGCTGGAATATTTAAAGCCTCAAGTGTTTGGGGGCAAATGCCTGTTCCCCCTTTGCAGTGAATGCTACATCTTTGCCCACAGCCTGTCCTTGAGACGGGAGCTACCTTGAGAGAAGCAGTAGCTGAGCAGTGCATGAGTACAAATCTGACAGAGACAAATACCATGAGCTTGTTGGTGTACATTTTAGCCGCCTTGATTATTTCATAGATTTTAAGTGCTTGGGAGAGGAAGGTTCTACTGGGGCATTTTCTAATATGCAAGCATTTCTCCTTAATTTTCCCCTTCTGCAATCCATTTCAGCATCTGGGGAAGTGTACTGTAGTTTATGGAAGTTTGTGGTTTTAAATTCAGAAATTTAAAATGTTTAAAATTAAACAATTTAAACAGTTCCATGGCCTCTTCTCTTTGTCATCCCACTCCAGATCTTAGGTCTGCAGCTATTTTTGGACATCCCTCGGATGCTCTCGCTGCCTTTGCCCTTCCACACAGATCTGGTTACTGTAAGGTTCCAGTTTCCTTGACTTTGACTACTTGAGGAAACCAGATCCTGCTAGGAAAAAAAAATAGACTGGCAGCTAGATTATTGTTTGATAATAGGCAGGTTGAATACCAAAATCTTCTAAGGGATTATGGAGGAAGTTGGTCTTAGATTCAAGCCCTTCCCCATCTCATCCTCACTGCAGTGATAGAAACTGGCGAGGTATCCATTTCTGTTCATGGCCATGAAAATAACTAGCCCCAGAGAGAACATATAGTAGGTAATAAAGTTACCTCATCTGACTGTAAGAATGACTCAGAGTTAATAATTTACTTTCCCTTGATTCTTCTCTCTCTCAACAATAGTTGGTGTGGGGTGGTGCTTTGGGGACTAGAGTGACCTGGGTTCCAGTCTCAGTTCATGAAACTTACCAGGTGATGTTGGAGCAGTCACTCTGCCTAAAGTACCTCACAGGGTTTTGAGGATACAGTTGGGGAGAAGCCACAGACTTTGCCCTGGGCAGCTCAGTAATTGTGGGATTAGAAAATATGATAGTCATCCTAGCTTATTGCCCTGCCTAGCCATTTCATGGCAATTCAGACCTTTGGGGATTGTTGGGGGGCATGTACTTGTCCTTGCAGCAACTTCAGACATTACAGCTGTTTTGCATCGGGCGTGTTCTATAACAGGTGGTCTGTGCAATTCTCTTTTTGCAGGTGGGAGAACTGGGGGTAGTCATCCAGATCCCCAAGTTGATTTCTGTGGTCCTAGGACCACCTTGGCCTGCTTAGGAAAGACACTTTTTTGAATTTTCCTAGTTATGAGTCTTTATAAGCCAGGCTGGTGGTGCTCTTTTCACTCTAAGCCAGGAATTAGGGCAGCCTAGCGTTCCTGAGCACTGGCTTTGCTGGATGGACTGATGGGAGTCTGGAGAGCACCTGGTTAGACAAGGCCAAATTAGGTCAAAGAAGGTAAGATACAATGAAGTTACATCAATTTCCTGAATAGGTTAAAGTTCCGCAAGCACAAAAAACAGTGAAAATTGCAGGAGTTCACAGGGAAGTGATGGCTTGAGGGGCTCCTGAACTTGTCATTCAGCCTAATCAACACAGAGATTGGTGTAAAACATTATTTGTCTGCACTTGCAACACAGATTAAATGTAGACCTGGGGTATTCACGGAGTCAGTAAGCATCCTTCACCTGACTGCCTGTAGAGAAGCCCACTAACACTTTGGTATGAGAGCCATGGGTTGATCTAACAACCACATCGGATGGAAAGCAAACTGAACTGACACTAGCAAACGTTGGCTTGTTAGTGCTCTCACTAGAATTCAAATGTGTTATCCATTCCACGGGGCATCTGCCATGATGTGGATTACACATCTGCCAGCTCCGCAGTGATGAACTTGTGCAGTCCAGACTTTTCTTGTGGTTGAAAAGCTAGCTTAGTAGCAGGTGTCTTGTTTTGGAAGGAACACACCTAGCCTTTGACTCCTATGCTGGCTGGGAGAATACTGGGGGACCTCTGGAAGACACCAAGCTGAGGAACACTGGTAGAAGGTTTCAGTAGAACAAATGCCCACAAATGACTCTGGTGAGTCACGGGCTCTTCAGTTGTTCTCTAGGCCTTCTGCCACCTGCTTCTCTCTGGGGCAGTGGTGGGCAGATGGTGGACCTGCTAGGTGCAAGGTTTCTTGCAAAGAATGCTAGGCAAGGTAAACACTTGTAATCTGAGTAGGCATTCTTGCTTGAGGATATATCCCAGACCAGTAATGTCTTTATTGTGCTTCTCCCCTTCCTCCCTCAATGTAATCCTTACAGCAGATTGCTGAGCTTGCTTCATCTCAAGGACATGGTCTAGTCCAGGGTCATGCACTGAGCTTTGTGGCTGGGCAAGGACTTGAACCGTAATTTAACACTCCTAACAACTACGACACACTGGCTCAGGCTAATAGATCTTGATTGTGCATTCTTGCTTTGTAAACTTACAGCATGTTAATTGGCACCAAGTTTCCCTGTGTTCGTTGGGGGCTTGCACTAGGGAAGGCACACACAGGATTGCAGCTGTATGACAGAGTAGCAGGGTGTGCCTTGAAATAATGAAAAAGTCATCCACTCTGAGACTCTCAAGAGCAGAAAATAAATCCCTTCCTGATCTTACTCGTAAGATGGAATTTGCTGGGGGCTCAAAGGTGTTTTGATTATACATGTCCTCTCCCTGCCTGCCAGTTTTGCTTGGACCTCGTTTCTTATCTCTACCTGGTGTGGCTCTCTGCAGAGTTCAAGGAGGCTTTCCAGCTCTTCGACAGAACTGGGGATGGCAAGATTCTGTATAGCCAGTGTGGAGATGTGATGAGAGCCCTGGGCCAGAATCCCACCAATGCAGAAGTCATGAAGGTTCTGGGGAACCCCAAGAGTGATGGTGAGTGCCTTTTGGACTGCTGTAGGTGTGTGGAATGGAGTGGAGTGGAGTGGGGAATAAGGTACTGCTATTTTTTTAATTGTGCAGGTTCCTGATTGGCATGCCATGAAGCTGGGCAGATGATTTAAGAGGTCTCTGCACATTTTATGGCTGAGCCTTGCAAATTTGATGTACTTGGAGTGTCAAACACAATGGCCTGATAAAGGCCAGCTTCCTGTTAAAAAAAAAAAAAAAGACAGCTTTCTAGACATTAGACTTGAAAATGTGTTGGAGGGGGAAGCCTATCTGATTGCAGCCTTGGAGTTTCCAGCTCCTCACTCTTTGATTGATTGATTGATTGATTGATTGATTGATTTATATCCTGCCTTTTTTCCTACAAAGGACTCAAGGCAGCTTACATCTCCTCCTCCATCTTATCCCCACAACAGCAACCCTGTGAGGTAGGTTGGGCTGAGAGTCTGTGACTGGCCCAAAGTCACCCAGTTGGCTCCATGGCCGAGCGGGGACTCGAACCCAGGTCGTCTGAGTCCAAGTCCCATTCTCTTAACCACTACACCAAACTGGCTCTCTTGTTGCTTGTTGCTAACAAAATGAGAAAACTTACGAGCCTAGAAAATCAAACCTTCCCTTGTGCAAAATTTGGATTTCCTCAGGGCAAGATCTTGATAACACGGATCACACATAGCTATGAATTTGAGGTGCGGGTCAGCCCAAAAACAGGAATTGCACAACAAAGGGGAAAGCTTCTTATCCTAGCCTCTGGAACCACCTTGTCAGCAACATTGGTATTTAACCCTTTCTCTCCCCACCTCCCCATCTTGTACTCTTCTTTTTTTGTTCCAGAAATGAATACAAAAACACTGAGCTTTGAGCAGTTCTTGCCCATGATGCAAACCATTGCCAAGAACAAGGACCAGGGCTGTTTTGAAGATTATGTGGAGGGGCTGAGGGTCTTTGACAAAGAAGGGAACGGCACCGTCATGGGGGCAGAGATACGTCATGTTCTTGTCACCCTAGGTATGGCTGAGTGACAGCTTATGTGCATGTGACTTCCTGGCAATTTATAAATGTAGTTTTCTTGGTCCACATGTGATTTTCAAAGAATATGGAGCTTCAAATGGAGGGGGGGCTTATCCTGCAGTGGCAGACCCACAAAAAATCTTACTTCTCCTATTGCCTGATGGTGTTCTTAGGATAAAATAATGGAGGAGTTAAAGGGTGCTTCTTGGCATGTCTACTCAGAATTATGTCCCAACTAATGTAGTGGCAATTACTTCCAAGTAGGTGTGTACAAGGCTGCAGCCCTACATCTCTCCCTGCCATCCTGTTAGGGCTGCTGTGGGTGGGCAGGATACAGTGACTGGTTTAGGAGAAAGTGATGCTGAAGCTAATCCTGCTTATCTCTTGGAGGAAAGATTGCTGGGGCCCTGTGCAGTGGGGGCGTATAGAGGATTTGTTTTGTAAAGTCACCTCCCTTTCATCTCAAGTATGATACTTTTTTTTTTTTTTTTAAAGAAAACTCTTAGTCTTCCACCTGCAGACCATCGTGTGGCCCCCTCTTGCCCTCGGTGGCCTGTCTGGGCCTGGGAAACAGAATGGTGTTAGTTCCTGAGTGCTCTTGCTTGTGCCACCCACACATGCTGCATGTGAGAACAGAAGGCCTGATAATTCTGTGTGACCCTATGATATTAACACTGACTGTGTTACTGGGACAGGCGTACAAAAGGACTGCCTCTCTCAGAGGCTAAGCAGAGTTGGGCTGTCTGGGGTGGCATAGCGCTCCCTAGGCAGCTGACAGGCCGACTGCAGGGAAAAGCTCCCTGTTGCAGTACTGCTTTTGCCCTGTCTGGCTTTTCCCCTGCCACCCGTTTGCCCAAGTTCCTCTCTGATGCTTTTCGGTGCTTGTTGCCCCGATCCATTTTGTCAATACTTTGCTTCTGTCGTGTCTTCGCATCATGGCCCAGGCCAGTAAGCTGCCTTGACAGCTGCCTCCCTTTTCTGCAGGGGAGAAAATGACGGAAGAAGAAGTCGAGATGCTGGTGGCCGGCCACGAAGACAGCAATGGCTGCATTAACTATGAAGGTGAGAAGCGGGACTGTTTGCGGAGCACTGAGTATGGCCCTCCCCCATGGAGGCACCCTGCCATCTTTGTGCTGCTAGATGGGGGAAAGCTCTGGCACCAGAATGGCTAGAGAAGATGCTTTGGGTAGTTCCCCAGCAGGACGCTGTACGTATCTTGCTCCTTGTCTGAATGAGCACCCCCTCACTACATGGCTTGGGACTGAAAGCAGCATCATATTGAATCCTATGAACATATTGAATCCTATGAACACCACACAAACATACGGTGTACGTTTCTGACTATCATCTTTAACCATGTGTGGGCTTGCAGATGGGGGTGCAGTGGGCTTGAGCTGCTGAGGTAAGGAGCTGGCGTGGGCATGGGTGTGGCTTCTCTCCTTGAATTTGTCCTCTAGAGATTCATACTTGTTGCTCTTTTTATACACATACACACATTCACATGCGCCATGCCTGCATTCCATTGTTCTGAGTCACGGGAGTTTGCAGATCACTCACTAGAGGAGGAGGAGGAGGAGAGGGAGGCTAATTTTGTATTTGTGCTGGGACACCCTTCTGTATAGGACTTGAGCCTTTTGTAGAAAAAAAATCCTGTTAGCCAGTAGGGCAGAGCTATTGTGTGCCAAGCAAATTGTGGAGCGCTACGAAGATCGCAAGATGTCCTAGTGCTGCTGTTACATGTACATGAGCCTCAGATGTGCTGTTGTGTGTGTTTATGTTCCATGTGTCTGGTTTTGTTTGTTCATTTGCTTGATCAATTTTGATGTTTCTTCCTTTCTACAGCATTTGTGAGACACATCTTATCAGGGTGAATTCGAATGGGGTACGCCTCCTCCGAACCTACCTTTTTTAACAGCCTCCTTTTTTTGTTGACCTAAAAAAAGGAAGATTTTTGTTTGCGCTCTATTTTTTCCCTCCATCCCTCTTATTCAGCATCTTCCTCCATTTCTCCCCGTCTTTCAGCATGTCTCTGCATGTAGCTGACTCTAAATAATCCAAGCAAGGGTGGCTGGGGAAATGAGGCAGCTCTGACTGGTTAAAGCAAGACTGTGCCTGTGTAACTTCACAACCGTGCTCAGGGTAGGGATGTGGGTGGCAGCATGAGAGGAAATGCTGCTGAACTGTGTGGTGAGGACTAAGCATCTGGATCTGTACGAGTTTAGTTGTCCAGTGCTGGAGCAGGGCCTGGACTGCTGTGGGTGGTAAATGAAGCTACTCAGCCTCCATTTGGTAAATGTGAGGGTCCTCACACACATGCATGCCTTTACTTTGACTTGTCGGCATACCTGGCCCAGAGCTGCATGAGAAAATGTGCATGTGAACCAAAACAATAGTAGCATAAGCAGACAAGCTGCTGGAAAGCAGTTTGTCTTTTAAAACACGTTTTCGTATCTGTGCCAGCTCATTAGGGTTTCCACACTGGAGTAGGGAGCAGGGATCCTGGAGCTGGAGAGGGCTGTGCATACTGTCTAGTTCACCCTGGCTTGTTGCAGGAAAGTCAGAACTGAAGCATCTCCTACCGATGACTGACCAGCCTCTGCTGGAAGAACTAAAGCAAGGGAGAGTCCATTGCTCACTCTCTCTAAGTAACTAGTCCATTGCTAAAGTGGACATTTCTCCAGATGTTCAGCTGAAATTTGCCCTATCATTTAAGCTTATTAGGTCTAGTCCGGCCCTCTGAGGCACCAGAAAAAGTGTCGGCTCTTTTCTAGAAGATGGCATTTGAGCTATTTGAAGAATGGTGTCATGTGGTGTCTGTGTCCCAGGCCACACTCGTCTGCAGGCTGCATATACCAAGTTCCTTCCATTTTCCCTTCCCATTTGCCTTGCCGCCTCCCTCTTCTGACTTTGTTAGGCAGGCAAGCAGCATCTGCCCTTGCACCTTAGTTCTTGTGGGTGACTTACTCTTCCTCCGAGGGTATCACTGTGCACACCAGGGGCAATGGCGGAGGACAAGCAACATGGCCAAGAGTTGGTCAGCAGTGCCCCCTGCTGGATCACCTGGTCCTCAGCAGATGCTGGTACTTTAAAAGAGGGCAAACTGTTCAAGACCACCATAGCCCCAAGTCCATATCTCTGATCTTAGGGTTTACCCAGCTTTGTCTTACAGAAGTCTCTATAGTTGTGTTGGCATTGTAGATCCAATTGCCAGGATTGCTGGAGCCAGCATAAAATGTCGGTCTGAAAGTCCGAATTTTATTTTAAAGTCTTACACCCCCACATCCCCATAGCATCCTCTCTCAAATCCCACTTCCCTTCTTAATAACCAACTTGTTCTGTCCTAGCGAGCCATCGTGGGATACACAGGAGAGGAATGAAGAAGGGGTGTGGGGTTAACAAAAGAGAGCTAGTGTGATGTAGTGGCTAAGAGTACAGGTCTAGGACTCAGGTGAGTGACCTATGTTGGGATCCTCACTCAGCCATGGATCTAACTGGGTGACTGGGCCAGTTGCACCCTCTCAGCCCAACCCACCTCACAAGATTGTTTTTAGGAGGATAAGATTGAGAGAAGGAGAAATTTGTAAGCCACACTGAATTTTTTGAAAGGAAAAGGCAGGATATAAATATAACAAATAAAACATCAACAGATGTTCATGTAGGGATATGGTTCTAGAGTGAAAATGCTCCAAAGGAGGAGATGCAGCTCTCTGCCTCACGTAGTGAAGAGACAGTCCATTGTTCCATGTCTTCTGTACAACTAGGGGATCTGGGATACAATGTACATCAAGAGGCATAGTTGAGAATTCTGCAGAGGGAAAACCATTGTGCAATTGCTTGTTTTTCTCCTTATACTTAACCTAGAGTCATTTGAGTGCATGCATTCAAAGTAGTTTGCAGTAGGATTAAGATACCAGAGGTGAAAAGGGGGGAATTCATGCAGAAACTGGTATACAAATCAAATATTAGGTGAGCAAGTAGAAGGAAGCCAGAGACCCTTTCCATTATATAACTTCTCCCTTTCTTGCAACAGGAATTTCTAGCATTTTGGTTTCTAAACCTTCAGACTTTCCAGATGCAAAGTCTGTCAGAATATAAGTTACCTTCAACAGAAACACACTTTTTCCCTGACAATGTTAATGTTAAAACAGAATTGGTTCTGTGCCATGCCACAACAAGTTGCAGTGAAAGTTTTGAGACTGGAATCCAATAGCTGCTGGCAAAGCTGCTGAGGAATATAGGGAAGATGGCAACAGGCCAGGTCTCATAGCCCTCATCCTGTCATCCACTGAACTATTCTACCTGAACTGAAGGTTAATCAGACAGTCTTTCTTTAGGGCCTGTGCTATGGCTGCTGCCTGCCTGCCTTCCCCCTTCCCTTCTCTTTACTAGGTAGGCTCAGTTGAAGAGCTGAGTCCCTTCTTTGCTGTAGCTGAGTGTCTCTCCAACTACTTTTCTTCTCTGCAAAAAGCAGAGCATCTTCATAGGATCAGCTCCAGAACTTTAATGCCTGGCAATTAGTATAGAAACAGCCATAATCCCTTCTGCCAATTTTGCATTCTTACTTCCTTGTTGCTTTAGTTTTGACTTGTGCTATGTTGGAGGGTATGTTTTTTTGTTTTAAATGGATGTGGTTGGGACGTCTGTGGGTGGGGGTTGTAGGTAGAACCCCTTGGATACTGGTGGAGGGCGACATGCTATGTGATCTGTAGCACTGGATTTGAGAGGCTACGGCTTAATCCTACCTATTGGGGCAGTGGGGAGAATAAGCTTTTAGTTTTGGTTGGCCATTCTTTTGGGAACCAAAGGCACTCTTCTGCACTCAAAGATTTTGTAATGTTTTGGCACTGATTGGCATTGGAACAGTGCTATGTTGCCTACAGCACAGCCAGTAGGAAAAAAAAATGAGACTTGGGTTCTGTTCCTCCATAGCGCTTGTCTACAATGCAGTAGATTACTATAGAAGTAATTACACAATGATGCTGCTTTTGGGCAGTCAAGACCACCCACTGTCAAAACATAAGTCTCTTGCTCACCCTGATTTCCCATGTTCTGGGCAGGTCCTGTTTCCCCCAAGCAGAATTAGCCTGGCTGAAGGGGTTGGACCCTGACACTGGCTCTTCTCACCCATCTTTCTTCTCTCCACAGAGTTGGTGCGGATGGTTCTGAGCGGCTGAAGATCATTTCTAGCTTCTCTTGTGAAAACCTCTTCCAGTTTATCCTTAAAATGTTTGTGCCTTTTTTATCTGTGTATGAAATGACTTTTGATTCCCTCTTTTCCTTGGAGGACGAGGAAGAGAAAAATTGGCAAAGGGTGCACCTGAATTTAAGTAGTAACTGAGGGGAGCCAACCTATGGCTAGCTGGCTTGCTTGTCTCACCTCACTTTATTTTCAGAAGTGTTCATTCAGCTCTTTCTCCCTCTCAACTGCTTTAATAAACTGTTTGAAAAGTATCTTGCTAGTGCTGTGTGGTTTCTTTTCTTCAAACTTTTAAATTATTTTAAATTTCTTTAAAAACCAGCAAGCTTTCTGGCATTGAGATAGCTATAGGGATTATTCTTGTGGCCATATACCAGCAAATAAGTGATTCATTTTAATCATTGCTGAGGAAAGATGTAAAGGATGTCTTGGGCACTAAATGAATGTTGTACAAGTATGAAAGGTGTCATGCTAGTTGTGTCTATACAACTGGCTTAGGAGCTACATATTTTACTATTACCATCCATTAAAAGTGGTACCTGATTCATATAATCAAACTTTTTCCTTAGTGTAGTATTCACAGTTTCAGATATGCAGCCTAACTTATTACTACAGTACTATATTTTTCACTGTATTTATGCCTCAGTCTTACACTGTTTCTCCTTAGGAACAATTCTGCAGGACTACAATCCAAACTCTTTGTGAATTGCCAGAACAGGGCTCCTATTTAAGATGTTACGAGTACATAGGCGTGAGAATTAGGAGTGGATTAGTGAGGGTAAAGAAGGGGTTATTATGGTTGAAAAAAATAACTATCAAGAGTGGAATATTTTTGCCTTTTTACAGTAGTGTTGCAATACTAATGCAAGTTTCAATTAAGGAAAATCCCTGACACAACTTAATCACATCAGTTGAATGGAATAGTTGGCTGGAAAGGGCATTTAAATTAACACAATTGTTTAAATGTCAAAACAACTGCAAAACTAGGAAATGTGTTAACCCTAACCCTTATAAATTGGTTACAAAGATTGTTATGTTGAAGCCAATAGGATTGGAGTTTCGGTGTTTGTAGACACTAATATGCATGTGGACAGCGCTTAATGCCTCCTTGGCTCTTTGCCCATCCAATTTTTAAAAATGTTTGCCTTCTAGGAAATTGATGTTTTGCGATCACCCAGGCCCACTATGGAAGTCCATTTATGAATGGACAGACAACACTGCCTACCCCTGTGATTGCCATTTTGCTGATGGCACATACACAAATATGTCCACCACAGAAAAAAGCTGGGGGCCCTGCCATAGGCCTACTTGTAATAATCTCTAGATCAGGCTTCCCTCATTCAGGGCCAATGATTGATGATTAGTAAACTGCTAAAAGCCATCCAGAGGAGGAGCTGTGGTTTTATAATTCCAAGTTAGTATTACTTGAGCTTGTGCAACAGAAATTTCCTTCTTGTCCCTCTTGCATGACCCATAAGATGTGCTCTAGAGGATCCCCTAGCCCTCTGGAGCAGGTTCAGAGGGCCGCACTATGGAAGTGAAAGTAACTATCTACTGGCTACTGCTGAGAAAAGAGCACTCTTGAATACAACCAATATTAATGTCAAGACAAAACAAAAATGATCACTCCACACAGAAACTTGAGTCTCTGCAAAGCAGCTTTCCCAGTTTTCCTTCTGCCACTCAGCAAGTCTTGTGAGCAGCTGCTTGTTGGAGTAGATGGAGCATTCAGCCATGGCCTGGCCTGTGCAGACTGTCCAAACTGGTTCATTCACAGCGGAGGGCCCTGCTTGTGAAAACTGAATGTTACATCACATGTGGGTTAAAGAAAATGCCGTTGTATCAATACTCCTATTTAAGTATATTCTCCTTCTCTTTTGATGCTTTCAGAACTTGTGAAAATAATCATATTTGATTTTCTTCAGAAAATAATAAACTGTTAGTTTTTACATTAACAGTTCCTTGGAGCACAGTGTTGAACCCACAGGAGATTCCCTGTGTCAGTAAAAATAGTACATGAGGGCTCTTTCCGTACCAGAGGGGAACCCCAAAACCTCACTCACCTTTCATGGAAAGTGTGCTTTTTCTCCCTCTCCCCAAATAGATTCTTTTTTAAATAGTTTGACAAGAATGCAAAAGAGGTCTGGAGGTTTTTATAACCCTTTCTAGATTAGGCCTCACTGTCAAAACGTACCTGTGTATTCTTCAGGAGCAACTGAAAAGTGCACTTCTATATAGGGTCTATAATCAGTCTAATATGCAAGAGAAAACATGACAATTCAACTGTCACACAACAGTGTTTAGTAAATATGGGGATGGGTTTAGTAATTTGAAAGAAAAAAACCTGCAAATTCCACTGCCCAATAACCGTAATTGCGGCCCTGTGCTGTTCAGACTGCATTCTGGGGCTCCACATCCTAATGTATTATTGTAAGCTGCCTTGAGACTATGGTAGTAGGCGGCATATAAATGAACGTATATATAAATAAATAAATGGCTGGCAGGCCTCCCTGACAGGGTGGCTTGTCTACCCCAGAGGTAAAGTGTATGAGGTAGTGGTACAGTCTGGAGAGCACTCTGTGAAAATAGAAGCGAGCAATAGTCATACTTTATTTTCTTCAATATTCTTTTAGGCCATAGTAATATTAAAGTAGAACCGTTTCAGGGCACACAGAAAAACTGAAATTAAGGCCAATTCCATTTTCAAAAAATAGGTATATACGCTTGACCCCTGCATGGACTTTTGAAGCAGCAGTTGTGCAGAGCACATCACAATTCCAGCTTCCAGTTATTGTGGTGACAAGCAACTGAAAACTCTGCAGCTGATTCCAGCCATAACAGTGCAACTGACATGCAAGTTTCAGGCTCAACACTATTTTTCTGAGTGCTAATTTGCTGTATCGTTAATTCAAAGACTACATCCCAGCTTCCATAGCTTTAATTTTATTATATGTAATAGTAGAATACCAAGTATGTAAATATTTAGCAATTATCTAGTTCATTTCCTAGAAGGAAACATATTCCAGCTATGACTTCATAAAGTTGGTACAACTTTTTTCAGTAACTTCCAAGTAGGCATTCCATCAAACTGTAAGTTCTTCCATGTTAACAATTGCTCCAATTGCCCTTCCCAGGCAGCATCTAGGAGGCAATAGGACTCTTCTGAGCCCTGGTTCAAAGGATAGAGGCAGAGCTCCAACCTTGGATCTGGTTATCCCACTCGGATCCCTCTCGCAGCTGATGTGAGGAGAGCTCCTGCTTTCTCCTTGGGAAAGTAACCTCAGGGAATGGGGAAAGGGGTGGTGGGAGGGGAAGAGGCCAGAGCCATCATGTGGCACTCCAGTCTCTTTCTCTTCCTGCCGGATGCACCACGGCTACTTGGCCAAAATCAGCCATCCAGCCAACCTGCAGAATGTGAGAGTAGAGGGCAGGCAGCATCTCCTCCACCTCCCCCACACTTTGGAGGATGCATATTCAGAGGCATGTGAGTGTTGAGGCTGCCACCTTAACTGTAGGGATTGTGCCCTAAAGTACTCTTGAGACTAACAAGGTGATTACAGCATAAGCACTGTGGTGGTCAAGGAACGTCGCATTCTGATATAGAGCAACACTGCCATCTATAGCAGCCATGGGGAGGCTGGGCAGCCAGCCAGGTACGAGGGACATCCAGTCCACCAACTTTCTCTCCAGGCAGGGCAGCCTCTTTCCCCAGGCAATAGCCAATTGGAGATTTTCCTCTGCTGCTGTCCTCCCTATGCTGAATTCAGGCTTTAAAAGAATTGATGGCAATAGAGCCTTAAAAAAAATCCAAGCATTGCACTGAGGGAATTTTTAGGAGGGTCTGCTACTTCTTCCTCAAATTAGATACACCCAGGTATTAATCATGCCTAATTACCATGGGGAAGGCATCTTTTGGAGAGGTGGTGGTCATTGTGTGTGTGTGTAAATGAATGAGATTGGCACTATGTCAGGGGCCACATACCTCCAATGGGGTAGCACCATGCTTTGCTGGCATTCAGCCCCATATGTTTGTGTGGAGCCAATTCAACCCTTGGGCCAAAAAAAAGATTTCCTCCTCTGCAACTGAACATTTGAGATTCCAGCACCTTGAAGACCACTGTGTACAATAAAGATCCTTGGGTTTATTTCCAATTCAAGTTCTCATTTTAATTCCCCCTTTTTAAAAGCATCACTCAATTTCATCTGGACTGGCTAGCTGTTTTATTCTGGAAGTCCAGACTGTTAGTTGAAAATATGCCCTAAACTGGTGACTATTTTTTATTAATACTTACAAATTCTTAGACCACCTACACTAAAGATGGAACTTATTTCACCATTGGTTCAAACTACACTTAATATAAAGGAGCCAGTCACCTTGCAGTGGTCTTACTCTCTCCTAAATATGTGGTCTTGGTCTCCCTTTGGGGCTTTGCAAATCAGGGGACCAGAGATGCTCTGCAATGGACTAATGCTCCTTCAGCCCATCTTTTCTACAAGGAACTTGAGCCATACTCTAAGTTCCAAGACTCTACACAGGTAGGCAAAATATAACAGTTATGCTGTGCAACTAATGCCATACTTTGCACTTTTCAAAAGGAGGAACCTGCCCTCAGCTGTGCTCCTGCCTATTTTGAAGTAATTAGGATCTAGCTGCAAACAAGGTTTATCTCTGTCTTTTTTGGAAGGTATATAGAAGTATTTTTTCCTGAATAAGCAGCAACATACAAAAAATCCTCAAGCACAACACTACAACATTGTCCACACAGGCTGCAATACCTTCTTTTCTCTAACACCCCCACCCCCACCTGAGAGACAGGAAACATTTGTTGTAGTTTTTCTTTATTGTTTTAAAAAAAAGAGCGAGACAGACACATACAAGGGGGAGTTAAACTCCTTTTCAACCAGGTTTAAAATCAAAGCCCTCTATAAATAGCAGTGGCTGTTTGGAGACAGATTCTTGTCTACCCGCCTCCACCAATTAGAAACACCTTTAAATAAAAAGTCTTGGTACGACTGGATACAAAAAAAAAGCATTGGGGGACATGGGATGCAGCAGAGAAACACAGGGGAAGGGAGTCAATAGAGCCAAATCTTCTTCCGCCTTTGATCACTGTTTTTAAGCCTTTTAAAAACCCACCCAAACAGAATCCATGTTTAACACGATTTGGGGTTGCTTGTCCTTCCTAGTGGTGAGGGCTCATTCCAGAGGCAACAAGAAGAGCAGCTCACAGCTTCTCACTGTGTAGGTGGGACTGGTGTGGCCGTGTTGGGGCTAGGAGTGATAGGATCCGACTGCAGTGAAGGTCCTTGATCTGAGTTGAAGGAAAGACAAATGGGAGAGGTTAGAGTAGGTTTGGGTAGAATACTGGACCTTACTGTCATTATTTTTCTTTGTGTGATCAATATAGGCATTCTGATATAGTTCTGATGTTTTGGGCTGCTTTATTAACAAGACTGAGAGAAAAGCCTGTGAAAAGGATTGTGGTCAACAGCAGCCTTTGTGCTGGAAGGACAGAAAAGTAGGCTCCCCTCTTAAATGCCTAGTGGAATACAAATGGAAAGGAAGGGAAAGCATGGCTCACCATCATGGTGTCTATGGCTCTAGTGAATTTAACTGAACAAATCAAGTTGGCTCAAACAAGCAAGTCATCCCACACAATACACAGCAGTGGGATTTTCAAGTACCAGCTCACTGATCTCAACTTTGTGTGTCTGATGCTTCAGGGGAAATAGCTTTTTAAGAACCCTTATTGAACAGGCCTTCTATGTACACAATATGAAATACTGAAAATCTACTATAAATCTCAGAATATCATCATCATCATCATCATCATCATCAGAAAACCAAATTTCTACTTGCCGAGATTATGGAGAAAAATGTATTATTTACACAGTACCATCAATGCACATAGCAGCCTAGAATTTCATGGGGAGTTCCCTGACACCCTGAAAATTAGGAAACTTCTGTTAAAAGCTTAGGAAAGCAAATAGGTAATTTCAGTATTTTGCAGGTAAGACTTCTTCCTGTCCTATGACCCCTAAGCATCATTCCTCCCAATCCAGCTGCAAGGGGCCCCTCTGACAGGTGCTTGGCCTAAGGAAGAACACAACATTCCAAGTCCAGGGAACAGTCTTGCAACTGCCACTGTTAAAGTGCCCAAATGAAGTTAGTTGCACAGAGATTTGCCTATCACGCATTCATCCCAACTGCGCAAGACAGATGGAGTGGGAGGAACAACCCATGCCTGGATCTGAACCAGATGCATGGCTAACTATGTGCTTTTAAATGCAAAGGGTGCCTGAATATGCTTGAATACAAAATAAGCTGGGGCCCCTACTCTTTCCTAAGGAAGCTTGTGATGGGGACAGGGGCTGCCTTTCAGTTCACATAGCCACTTTATCAATTCATAGCTTATGTGTAGTTTGCTGCTGATGTACAACAGGCTGGAAGGCCTCTTCACACATGACATTTCTCCAGCAAAGGCAATATCTCCAGGTTTGGGAAGAACAAATCAGTGTAGACCATCCATTTGTGAAGAATCATGCACTGACTGTGCCATGAAGCCCAGGCTGTACTGCCTCTGTGACATGTCCACAGAGGCAGCCCTGAGACCACGGATCCCACATGGCATCTGGGCAATGAACGGGCAATGTGAAACAATGCTTCTCCCTCTCCCACCCCACCACCAACTCTGGGTCAATTCTCACCTGATCCAAGACCAGCATTTGGAAGGAGGCTGCCCTGCATTGCAGCCACAATAGCTGGGCTCTGGGCAGCTGCGGAACCATGCGGCAGTGGGGCGGCAGCAGGGTGCAGGGTGCTAGAGACGTTGATGATGGGCGGATTAGCCATGCTGCACGCAAGGTTACCATGCACTGGATGGATGGGCATGTTAGCAGGGAAGTTAATGCCGATGGAGTCTGTTACGTTACTAGCCATGCTAAGTGGGATGGAGGCAGGCATTCCAAAAGGCAGAGTCGAGGGGATATTACCAGCCATGGCCGGGTGAACGGTTGCTGGGACTGCCCCGGGAAGAATCTGGGATGATGGCTGCTGGCTAGGGAACGGAGGCTGGGCTTCAGAGAGAAAGAGAAAGACAAAGAGCTGAGTGTGACAGCTATTTAGGCAAGCAAAGACTTAACATAACTTATCAGCATTTACTGGTGTTTTAAAATTTCACAGCTTTGGGCTCCTCAGCATGTGATCACTAAATGAGTTCCCCACACTTCCTCTTTTAGAAACACAGAACAGACAACAGGTGGATGAAAATCAGAAGGATTTTCATAATTCAGCCCCCCAGATCCCACCGGGTTTGTACGGAATCACTATGATGAGAGTCTAGCTAGCTAATGGGTTCTGTCTTAAAGACAGGCCACAATTTCTGCATTTGAAAAAAGCTAAGGAAAATTGCAGAAATCATATGAATGGCAGCTGTAGAGAAATCTGTCAAACTCAAGAAATCTGGATTTCCCAGCTTCAACACAGAACCTCTGATACATCCAGCTTTATGCTAAGTTGGGAACAGCATCTAATGCTTCAAAGCCACGTGTGTGATTCACAAAAGATTTACTGATGCATGGTATCTCATCTGATCTGACAGCATCATCCTAACATCTACTGTAGCGACTTTCCACCAGAATGCAAAACGTTGGACCTCATAAAAATGTGGAAGCTTTCTGAAGAAATGAAAATGTCTAGTTTTATAAGGAGGCTGCAACTTACAGAATTCTTGCTACCTCCACATTTTAAATACCCACTTCAACATACAGCTCAGGCCTAACTTATGCATTAAATGCTTAGAGGTATTTTAATTAATTGGTATATAAATATTATTTCTCATAGAGTATTAATAATTCATACACTACTGAAGAAACAAGATGAGGCAGATATCCAGCAAAATTTGTACTGAACAAATTGTTTCATTCTTATGCAAATACAACGTGGGAACAGGCCATGAGGAGGTATGAACTGGGCCTTAAACTTCCATATTAATCCCCATGATCTTCTGGGAGGTGGGGTGCCTAGCATTATGCTCGTATTGCAGACAGACTGAAAGACACAGATGCTCAGCATTATCAGGCCAACATGGTGCAACCCATCCTTCTCCCACTTCTTCCAGAGCAAAGGTTTTTCTTCTGCCCTTTAGAGAAGAGCCACATAATTTACTTGTTTGTGCAGTCACTAAAGCTGTATCCATACTAACACTATCCTCAAATACCTACACTTAAGCAATACATGGATGGGAATGGAATAGTGCCAATTGTACCCAACCACATCCTTGATGTCCATGTATTCAGTAGGAAGCCTTAAAGCAGGAAAAGCAATTATGGGTTGAGCTGGCTCTGTCTTTGTAGGGAGCCATTGTGATGCAGAGGTTAACAGTGTTCGTCTGTGACTCTAGCAGTTTGGGTTCTAGTCCCCGCTCAGCCATGGAGCCAACTGCGTGACTCTGGGCTCAGTCACAGACTCAGCCCAACCTACCTCACAGGGCTGTTGTGGGAATAAGAATGAGAACAGGAGGAAGAGAATGCTGTATACTGCTTTGAGTTCTCAAAAAAAAAAGAAAGAAAAAAGGCGGGATATAATAGATAATCTAATAGATACATAAATAAAATTGTAGGGATTCTGTTCCCCCCTCTCAGAAGCAGACATGATCTGCTGCCAGGATAGCAGCCTATGTGAAGGTGGAATCAGAAGTGAAGAGGGGGGTACAAGACACCTCCAGTCAGAGGCCTGGAGATAAGGTTCCTGGCATAACCAAGTAGAGCCTTCATGGCCATCCTCAAATTCTTCTCTTCCCAGGAAGAATTTCAAAAGAGAGCCCTGGAAGTTCTATGGCAGGGGAGAGGGGATCTCCTGCAGCTGTCATGCCGAGCCACAATCTTGACAGCATTGTGTTCTTTATACACAAGCTCAGTGATGTTTCATCATTTTTGCTGTTCCTAAGGCAGGAAACATCACAAAAGGCATGTTCTGTTAGGCATTCACTCATGGGCAGTTTCAAAATCAATGTACCTATGAAGCTAACTTAGACGGAGTCCCATTTTGAGTCTCTCTGCCCCAGTACTGTCTATTCTGGCTGGCCTGGTTCTCCGAGGCCTTTCAGCTCATGCTTCCCAGCCCTGCTTCGTAAAGAACCAAGAGACTGATCATGGATCCTTCAGCATGGAACACACAGGCCCTAGCACTGCGCTGGAGTCTCCGTCCTCTGCAGGCCATGGGGACAGCTGCTCTGACTTACCATGGGAACCTGTGGGTGGCTGTCCAGTTTGGCCCGGGCCAGTTGGTGGTGCTCCAGCTGCTGTCTGCTGTGGCTGCACTGCCACGGGCTGCCCAATCTGCTCTGTCTGAGCCATACTGCTGGGCTGTCCTATGGTACTGGCAGCTGGCACCGATGTCTGGCTGATGGGAATGGAGTGAGCAGCTGATGCCAGGGGAGCCCCTGAAGAAGGGAGAGGCTGGGAGCCCCCAGGGAGAGAGGGTGGTGGCGGCGGCGGCGGCTGCTGCTGCTGGTGCATCTGCTGGAAATGCTGCTGGCGAGCTCGCATCTCGGCGTACTTGAGCTGCTCCATGTGGAAAGCCTGACGGTCAGCCAGGAGCTGCTGCCTCTGGTACTCAAGCTAAAGAGAGGTCAACAAAGAGTTGTGCAAGGCAGTTTTTCCTCACTCAAAACTCCTCAACACGTTTCCTGCTCTTTTCTTTCTGAACAGAACCACTGGAGCCCAAATTCTTGTGCCATTGCTTCATTAAATCTAAATAAGGATCAGGTTCCCAAGCACTGATCAGGCCCAATCCTAGTTAGATTTATCATGAAATGGCAGTATATGCCTTCGGACCTTTCTCTGGGTCTGCAACAGGAACTGCTACTGGCTACAGGTGAGACAAACTGTCAGATGGTCAGATTGCATAGTTGGACTGAGGTGGCCCTAGGTTCAAGTAAGAGTTCCCATAATAACCAATTAGAAAGAGAAATAAGACACAAACACACAAAATTACACCTCAGCACAAGGATCATCAAGTCAGTGATATGAACGTGGAAATGACACAACTGTACTCACTGCCTCACGTTCCCGATCCATGATGGTCTCTAGCTCCTCAAAGTGCCGTAACTTAATCTCAAGCTTCTTCATCTGTGTTTCCACCAACAAGGCAACCAGTGACTTGATTTTACGCTCTTCCACTGCAGCCAAGTGCTGAAAAGAAAATGCAGGAGAGCAATTCTCTTAAAAGCTAATGCAAATGCTTTGCTGGGTGCTTAAAGTGTCTCACACTATCTCATTAGCACCTTGTAACTCAAGGCACATCTATATTGTTTTGTTCATAATGCAGATGAAGGGCTGAGGTGGAAAGCGTCATTGGGTGGGTTTGACTGCAGTGGGAAAGTAATCTATGGTGGCTTGTCTTTCCTCCCTGCACAAGTCAGCTGTGAGCTATGCAATTATCTTCACTGGGCACGGGTTGTTGTGATATCTGAAGCAGAAGATGTGGATGGCGTACTGACAACATATCAGGATAGTCTATCAACTACAATAGCTACCTACCCTCACCAGGCATGACATCCTGCACCTGGCAAGGGTAATTATGCATGCCAGCTTGCAAACAAGCCACCAAGACTTATTTTCCCTCAGAGATGGTGCAAACTTAGGCAATAACTTCCCTAAAGAGATGGCATGAACTCATGACTAAGGATGTAAAACTGGGGACCTCCTGATTCAAACCAGTTTACATCAGGCATCAAGATTTCAGAAATCTTCATGTTATTTATTTTCATTATATTAATTTTGAGCTTCATTATTTTGGTTTCAGTGCCTGTTTTTGAATTATGCTGTTGGAACCTTGTGAGCCACTATAAGAAAGCAGTCTACTAGTTAAAACAACAACAACAAGTGATTTACTTGCCCTGTTCTTTTCAGGAAAAAACCCAAACTAGAGCTCCAGTGCTGCACTCTTCCACCTGCCCTATAAATACAGCAGAACCCAGTGACTCCACTGACCACTCACCTTTGCTTTCACTGCTGCAGCAGCCAAAGCAGCAGCAGCTGCAGTGGAGAGGTTACCTTCGCCGATGTCTCTCTCCACCTTGGTCTTTCGCTCACCCTCCGTCTCTGCAAGGTCCTTGGGTCCCTCCTCCTGACCATCCTTGGGTTCCTTTTCCTTTTCTCCATCAGCTGAGACACAGGAGGACACATTACAAGAAGGGAAACAGTCTCTTGTGCTATTGTTGCTTGAAGGTGATAGAATATGCACCAGTGCTCAGAGTTTATAATTTCATATTTGTTCACATATGCAGAGGCTGACTGTACTCCAAAGGGAAGGTTGGCCAGAAACTTATAAAGTTTCTCTCTCAGCATCGACGAAGACAGCTGCCCTGTTAATTCTCTCCCAAGGATCTACATACCCACCAGTGAAACTGATTTCAGGATCTAATTCTGGGGTGGGTAGAGTGCTGTAATCTCTAAGAGGCAAGCAGTCTACTACACATCCCTGCAGTCCAGAATATCACTAACGGAGACTTTAGGGTGATGTAGTCACAGCATCCCAACTCAGCCTCCTAGTTAACTAGTCACAGCATGAGCTGTGCAATTTCCAGGAAGAAGGTGCTCACCCATCGTGTCCCCATCACTTTTGTCCATCTCCTTCTCGCCATCAGCCTCTTTGTTTTTGTCTTCCTCCTTCCTAGGCACCTCTCCAAGTTTCTCCTTCACTTCCTCCTCCAGGGATCCTTCTCTTTGTTCCTACATTGAAAAAAGGACTTGCTAGAACCTCTGAATGATTCTTCCCGCAGTCCAGTATCAACAGCTTGGAGCTATAGCAGACCTAGCTGGAAAACTTTCAGAACTTAGGCATAGATATTCTGGTGGCCAGGACAGTACACCAGGAAATAATTTACTAGAAGTGATCAAATTTGAAGAAAATGTAAGAAGTTAGAGGATAGTGTTTCTATCACTCTGTTTAGACCTGGGCACTCCTCTTTAAGGAGGATATCGACAAGTTGAAGCAAGTTACAGATGAAGAACCAGGATGATGAGAGGTTGGGAAAGTAAGTCCTGGGAGGAACAGTTGAAAGAGACAATTATGTTTGGCTTGGAGAAGAGAAGTTTAAGGAGATAGCTTAAAGGCTGCCATGTAGAAAATGAAGCAGACACGCTCTCTGATGCTCCAGAGGGCAGGGCTAAAACTAGTGGGTGGAAATTGCAGGAAAGCAGATTTCAGCTAAAGAAGATCAGAAACCTCTGAAGAATGAGAGCTGTTCTTCACTAGAGGTATTTAAGCAGAAACTGGATGACTATCTCTCCAAGATGTAGCTGCACCCTGCACTGCAATGCCTACAGTGAGTATGGGGTTGGACTAAATTATCTCTGAGGCACCTTCCAGTTCTATTATTCAATGGTGCAATCTGATTCCTCACATATGGCCAGTTTCCTGTGAGGAAATCCCTCGGTCCCCCCACCCATCTATGTATCCCCCCAAAACCCTGCTTCAGAGCTTGAATTAGACTCATTGCTGCAGAATGGTTTATCCAGCCCCAGCCCTCACTTTTTACCTCTTTCTTCTCCTCAGATGGAGGTGGTTCTGCCCGGTTTTCATCTGTGCAGCTTTCTTCTAAGTAAGGAGCGGAAATATAGGACAAGGCAAGAAAGAGCAATATTAGCATCTCCATGTAAGGCTCCCACCCACACCCTAAAGCAGAAAAAGTGTTGAAATAATGAATTAGGGTGGGGAATGCATTAAAAAGCCAAGATTTGAGGAATTCTGTCTCAAGCACTATTACAAAGAATGAATGCTTCAGGACAAACTGGACTGAGGCACTTACAAGCTCTTTTGAGATTGCTGGATTTCAAGAACTGAGGAGGGATCAGGACTGGGGCCCTTCAGAGAGAAGATAATCCCACTGCCAGTCTCTACTTTCCCTCATCACTTACGTTTAAAAGCAGAGGTTCTCTGAGAGGGAAGGCCCCAGAACCCATTCTCTAACTCACTGGAAAGCCAATATCCTTGGCCACCTACCCCAACCCTCATACAACCCAGTCTGACAGGGTTGCGGGTGGTTAGTCAGAGTAACCTTGGGGATCCCTTATGCAGCACCAGGTGACTGAGTGAAAAGTCCAGGTCAGAAACAGCCAGCTCTGGTCTCCTGTGCCTCGCACCCTTCTTAGTCACCACCACATGCTGACTGCAGTTCAGTGAGGACACACTGCAGACTGAAGCATGGAAGGAACCCCATTCGCCCCCTCACCTATTCTCTCCAGCTCATCAGAGGTGGTCCCTGCAATTCCACTGCTCTCCAGACCAAATGCTGGGTCTGCCTTGCCTGTCACCTTGGCAGCTTCCTCCACCTTGCGAACATGCGCTTCAACCAAGGCTGTGGGCACCTCCTCCTTCATCTTGGAGAACTCCTCTAGAGAAGACAACCTCAGAATCAGACAAAAGGCTCTGTTCACAGCAATGGATGACAAATTGGTGTGGGCAACATGAATATAGACAAAGGGATGGAATGGGTATACAGAAGATGCTGCAGCCAGAGGGAGCTGAGAGAGACCAAAGCTGCAGGTGGGCAGGGGACTCCTGAAGACTCAGAAACAACAGAATTGTAGAAGCTGTGGCAATTAAATGAACACCCATCACATCTTAACTGGGCCCAATGACTTAAGTGCCAGTGGATGCACCTTCCAAGTTTCTCCATTGGGACAACCTACATTAAGCTGCACCATATATTCAGATTTTAAAACTCCCACGCTAAAATATTATCATATAATATTTGCAAGCAAGCATTTTGATAGGAATGCATGCTTGCATGGAGCTTCTGATCGACAATTTGAAGAGCAGCGGCTAGGCTTTGACAAAGTCAAAAACTTGAGAAACATCCAACCAAATGTTTATGGTAAGGGAGGCTTATGATAAAGCCAAACAACCAGAGTATGCTTTGGAGTCTCTGATCTCAGTTCAGTCCGTGCAATAACTTCCTATATAACAGCAGAAAATTCTTACTAGTTCCCTGGATGCTGGCTCAGAATGTGGCATCCTGAGATCCCCAGCTTTCATTTTTAAAAACTCCAAGATTTTAGTCCTTACAGTTGTAAAGAAAAGCTTAGTAACACACAGACATTGCACTATGAAGTATCAGAAGATGCAAAGAATTTCCAGAAGTGATACGATACCCTGCATCTTGTACTTTTTCCCATGGTGGCTGGAACCTGCCCAATAATTCTATCCATTCTGTATTAAAATCCTTCCCTCCCCAAAGTCATTAACCCCCCGCCAAAAAAAAAAAGACTATGATTCTGCAAAAGCCATAATCTTGGAAAGAGAATAAATGGCTTAATTTATGTAAAATAACATGCTTACAAAATCAAGCTCCAATCTATGAGTGGTGGGGGAAGCATACAGCCCACTCCTGGGAGTCCCTGTTAATTACCTAGAGCTGACTTGGCTGCTGCGGATGCTACACGGGGGTCCACCACAGAAGCCAGGAAGGCCACAGTGCTCATAACAGGATTGCCCGACTGGCTGAAGGGAATGGGTTGGTAGGCTAGGGGTCCAAGTGAGGCCTCAGAGTCCTCCAGGTAGGGGTCCTCAATGGGAAGACGCAAGAAGTGCAGAATGCACTCATCCTGGGTGCGGCTGCCAACATGCTCAGAAACCTTGTTCCAATCGTCTTTGTACATCTCCAGTGCCTAGAAGACAGTTTGGAAAATACTGACATGTACATGTCTAAAGCTATTAGGGACTTGGCCTCAGCATCCTCTTCTGAGGTGCTTGGTCTAGCCTACTATGTCCAACTTTAGAGCACTTCTAAATCAATTTAGTCTAAATTTTGAATATCTGACATTTGTTTGCATTTGTGAACTACAGTTTCAGAAAGAATACAGTGAGGTATGCAATGCCTTATTTCATGAGGTATGGCAGGAAAGACACATCCAAACATGCCCACAGCCCTGAAGGCACTTCAACCCCTCAACTCACTATACTGTTTTAGGAATTTTTATGGAAAAACTGGTCAAATTTCAAACGACAGCAACTCTCAGCTCTGCTCTCCAGCTGACTATAACCTGCAGAGCTGAAGCATGCATATTAGCAAGTGAGGACAAGCAGGAGGGAGAGGAGGATGGAGCCAGAAGGTTGCTGGAAGGGACTAAAAGGAGTGTTTATTAGAAGCTATCAGTGGCAAGACTGTACAAAAGATGGAAAAAATATCCAAGACCATTTCCCTTTGAATAACCAGGTCAGGGTAGACATAACAGTTACTTAAAACTAGCTTTCACTGTGGTTTGATTCCATAACCCTGCTGAAGATTCTATAGGCAAATAATGCTTGAGCTTCCAAGACTTGATCTTGGAGAGCATGTATTGTGAAATACCTGTGAGGACCACTGGTCACCTTGCAAGCAGGGAGGCTGGAAACTAACACACTTTGTTCAGTACAAATACTAACCCTCAATTATGGCTAGTGCAAACCATGGTTTCAAGCTCTCTTTAACCCACGGATTAACATGTTGGGTTGTGGCAAGTCATCGGAACAAAGAAGTTGTCTTGTGCCAAATCAGATGACTGCCTATCTAGCTCAGCACTGCCTGCACAAAAGGTGGGCAAACACTGGGCTGCCAGGATCTTTGCCTTTTACAAGAGCCCTGAAATCCATTTACGGATGCCAGGTGCAAAACGGGGACTGAAAACATGGTCCAAGAACATGGTACCTCTGAGCTTATGTTCAGCCTAGGAATCTGTTTTCAGTACCATACCTAAGCTCACAGTCCCATCTCACAGAAGTCTGCTCCTGGCTTGCTCTGCAGGTCTCTTTCATCTCAGGAGGGGATGGGGTGCAGAAGGTAGGGGTGCTGGGGAGCAGAAAGCCTGCTGATGATTCTGCGAGTTAGAAACCCAGTAATATACCAGCAGACCCCCATCCACTTTCTGCCCATTCCTGGCCTCTACTGACTTGAAGCAGCTCTCCAGGATTAGGAGAAGCAGCCTTTTCTAGTCCTGTCTAGATAAATGTACATATAAAGCATGTGGTCTACCCACTAAGCCACATGCAATGTGACCCTTAACCATGTTCTGTTTTCAATAACCACAGTTAAGGGGTCTGTCGGCAGAGACCCTCAGTGTCCAAGCTGAGACTTTTCCGAAAAAAACAGCACAGAACTCTAGATACAAACACTGTTATCTGGATGCTGGTGCTATACACATTCAGGTGTGATGGCTTGAGAAGCCAGAAACCTACCAACTCACTATTTTTATTCAATAAATACATTCCATATAGTAGTGACAAAAACTTGATTCCAAGGAAGGTTTAGCTGACAAAAATGGAAACAAGTTGGGGATTTCATAGTAAAATGCATGAAAGGTAGGCATCCCTAAACCAAAAAAAAAAAAAAAACTCACAAATGAGAGAAGCCAATTTAGTATCTACCATTAATCAAGAGCTTCTCTGTCCACTCACCTCCAGCAATAACAATGTCTCCTGCTCTGTCCACTCACGGGTAGCACTCGCAGCAGCTTTGCTCTGTATGGAGAGATCAGACATTAGAACTGATACCTCCTGAATGAACTTGTAAAAAAATCCACCCTGTCCCCAACCTTTACCTTGGAAGGAGCATTTTTCTTAGTGTACATGTCAGTGCGAAGTCCAAAGTTTTGCATATCTGGTGGTTTTTCTTTGCTCTTGTCAGGGAAGTTCAGCATCTGCTGAGAAGCTGTGGTTTGCTGCAAATGGAGAACAGACTTCATGTGATGCAAAGAAAGCCGTAAACTCAAATCCTCTGAAGTACAACTTGAAAGTTCACAGCCATCTGTAATATACATACCCACAAAACTCTGGCTCTTATTTGTGACCAATTTGGAGCATAGCAACCTTACAGATGTGGTGTTGTTGTTGCTATAAGCTGTCAAGTCATCTCTGACTTATGGCAGCCCTATGTATTAAAGCTCTATGGATGTAATATAGAGGTACTGTGAAGCTATATAGACCAAACATCTGAGGTAGTATGCTGTTCATGTTCTGGTTTGGTCTAAATTGTCCATGACAGGTATCTGCAGACGTCTGCCTTAAGCTTTGTTTAAATACTAACCATGAAGCCACACAGTGTTACACAGGTTATGATGACATGATATTCAGTAACATCTAACAAACCTCTAATGAAGTGGGAGATGTGACAACTCCCCTCCCCTCTAAGAAGCTCAACAGGCTGGCCTAGACCACCTCTGGCTGCATGGAGTTCCACAGTTTTCCATAAGCAGCAGCCCAGGTAGGTCTCCTCTTCTGGGAGCCACAAGCAGTGACAATTTACATTCCCCACAGCAGCTTTCCTACCATCTCTGGTTTCCCCTTCACTGTGTCTGTGACGAGATCTTCAATCTCCTTGCTCTTCCGTCCAGTTTTGGTGTCACTATCACTCTGACGACCCTAAAGAGTAAGAAAGTTACTTCAAGTTTGCATCCATTTAGATCAACATTTTTAATTGGGGAAAACACAAGAATAAAGCATTTTCCATGAACACAGAAACAACGTGAAGATAACAAAAAGATCCTAGCATGCACAACTGTAGAATTCTTCCTGATTTTAAAACTCCAGGCCAAGGTAGCTGTTCCCTAGGTTTTAAGATTGTCCCCAATACAATTTAATCCCATTTCTGCGGCTTGAAGTAATGCGCGACTAATTCAGTTTTATCAAGTATTTTTAAATCTTTTGAATGTTTTTATGTTACTTTCAGTATGTTTGGTAAGCGACCCCTTGAAGATATTGAGTGATAAAGATGTGAATAAATGAAATATGTCACTTTATTTTTCTGAGGTTGTTAAAAAAAAATCCTGTTCTACCTGGGGAGTTTTGGGTTGCAATGGCACCAATCCTGAAGGAGTGTCAGCCAAAACATGGAAATGTGATGTAGGTGGTGGTCCCATTGGGGTTGGCCGGCTCTCTGCATCCACCTGGTAGTTAATCAGTCCCCACTGCTCCAGAAAGGCATGGACTCTGTAAAAGAGGATCAGAGTTGGATCTGGAGCACAAAATCAATTTCAAGAACTTGACAAATTGTCTGCTTTTGAGGGAGGATACAGCTTTGGACAAAATACACAATTTTCTGTTGATTAGCTATATTACAGAAGACCGATTTTTTCAAGCCAGATGATGCACAATCCACAATTTTTGTTCTTTGATGTTGTTTGTCTACACTGACTCTAGTGCCAACTAAGAAACAAGACAGATTTCCTGTTGCTGTTTAACAAAATAAAAGTGCAGCAGCCAGACTCTGTCCCATAGAAATTCCTTCTGTTTTGCTCAACAATTCCGTCCCTCTGCACACCTCATGATGGCACAGACATCCCCTGCCAGATTCCGGCGGCAAGCAGTTGAGGTTAGATACTCCTGTGGATTCAGTCGGTAGGTATCAATCATGAAATTGCGGTATGCCAAGTATCTAGAATATGGCCAAGAGAAAAAAGAAATACTCAGAACCATGCATTTCACACTATCAAGCATTCCCATGTGATCAAGTCTATTCTTTGTCACCAGTAAGATGCCCACAAGGTCCAGTTCCCAAGCTTTATTTCTATTCAGTGTGAGCATGTGACTAAGTAGCAAAGAAGAACGCCCAACTCTCTTCTTACCAGGAGACAAAGGATTCCACATTTGCTATCCCAGAACAGATGCCACTATTCATAAGAGCAGTCTTACATTTCCGGAGTCTTTGACTTGTTTTTGCCATTGAAAAACTCAGGCAGGGCTCTCCGCTCGATGGCGTGGACGCTGGGGAGGAAGCACAGCGACGCATTAGAACAGGCTGGGAGGAGAGAGGAGCCGAGGAGAGAAGTGCCACCCCTCCCCCCCTGCAGTACCTGTTATAGTCAAACCAGGCTGCATAGCTGGGGATGATAATGTGGTGAGTCTGCTCTGTCACATTGTCCTCGTGCAGATCTGGGTTTTTTGTCTGCTCCCCTTTGTTCCCAGCATTGTTCTCCTCTTCATCCTGAAACCAGAAGTTTCTTGAGAAGTCAGTACAGATGTCCATGACTTTCTTATGCCTGTTGTTCCTGAAGTACATTTTAAGAGAAGGCTATGATGAAATTGCTCATTCAGGGGGCTTTCAAAAAACCTGAGTATTTTAACTGACGAGCTCACAGTCCAGTCTATATACAGCTCAAGAGGATGCTGGACATGCTAATTACTCAAAGATGAGGGAAGAATCAAGGTAGATTTGCAATATGAGAGAGCAGCTAATGCATATGGTGATCCTCAATGGGTGAATTCACGCATCTGCCTAACCCACCCCATGAATAGTGGTGAGCAGTCTGCTTGTTGAACAATCCACAGTGTACCTGGCAGATTACTCTGTTGTGTACTGTCTCCCTCAACCTTCTCCCTTGGTCCTGTACACCAACAACAAGTGGGCCACAAAATGCGCTGTGGGTTAAACTGGGTGTGCAGAAGGTAGCCCTCCGGATAGCAGGAATGCCAGGCTGAAGCCCAGTGCATCTGGAGACCCACAATCTCCCTGCTCCTGAGATAAGAGAATGACAAAATTCAATGGAGTGCAACTATCCTGCCTACTCACTTTGCCTGTTGTCTCCATGCTCTCATCCTCTGGCTCATCTGGAAAACAAAACAAAACAAAAAGGACAGATAACGCCAGTCAGAAAAAGAAACTGCTGTGCTCACCATTTGCCCATTAATGCCCATCCAACAGAAGACAGTGAGAACAAAGTTAGGTTGAGCTGTGTATTTATGAGATTACTATCCAAGTGCCCACTTAAATGAGTATCAAGTCCATTATGGTGGAAGAGAAATACAAAAGATTGGGTTTTATTTGTTCTCTACTGTAAAACATGTAGTCTGTTTTTATTTATTATTGATATCCTTTTCTCTGAGTCCTTCTATTAATTAATGGGAACTTGAACCCCTGAAAATATGCTGGTTAAAAGATAACTTTGACTAAAATACTACACCCCATTCTAAGCATATGGCTTAGAAGGGAGTTATAAATATGTGTACAAATATACCTAAATGCTAAAAACTCTGATATCCTCCTTTTTTATATATTGCTATCTATTTTGTACACTGCAACAAGTATTTTTAAACAAGGTATGCAACTAATAAATTTATATAGTAAATTAATAAAATGAACCTAAATGCTGAATTCCAAATGGACACAAGTGGCTTGCACCATCACAACATTTTTTCCCTTCCTTAAATAGAACAGCAGAGGTTAAAGGGGCCAGGGGGGCACTGGGTTCAAGGCCCTGATCAGTGCAGGACACCAACTTAAACCATCCCTCTCAAATGTCTGTCCTGCTGCATCTTGAATTCCTCCACTGTGGGAGAGCCCAGAATCTTCCTAAGTAACTGGTTCCATTGCCATACTGCTCCAACAGTCAGGAAGTTCTTCCTGATGTTCAGCTGGCTCAAAAATAGTTGATACCATCGCACAGGAGGCTGTCATTTGAGGAAAAACAATTCTTAAAGCCTCCTTGGGCTTACATAACTGGCTATTATGTTGTTTTGGATTCTGGCCAACAAGCCTATGGCTTCTTGTAGACTCCCTCCAGAATATCTGGATGACTACACCAGTTTAACAGATTTTATTGTTTATTGGAGATAAGCAGGCCTAATAGGCTAGTACTACTTAAACTGACAGTTTAGTTGATTTACACATAAATCTGACTCACAACAGCTCAGCCTGGTTAAAAGAAGTACAGCAACTGCTTCTCAAGTGTCTATCTTACCTAGTTTGTGCCTGTTGTGAAGATGCAAAGGTAGTTTTTTCCAAACAAGCACACATATGACATTACAAACTTTTATTTTGTCTTTACACATAATAATGGGTTCTAAGTCTCTTTCCAGAGAAAATACCACTTATGAATATGTACAACATGCCAACATACTTGTTACAAGTCCCTCTAAGTCAGACCAGTTTCAATATTCACATGAAGGGATTTTCATGAACTGTTCAGGGCCTGTGAAATTGTGATTTGCTTCCCTCTCATGATTCTTTCTCAGTTACGAAGAGAAACAATTCCAAATCCCCTATAACCTCTCATTCCAGGAAAAATTGAATAAAAAAATAAAAATGTGCACACATTTGATATGCCCAAATTTCTTCATCAGATGAAACAATTTGGTTGGCAGGGGGTAAGAAAAAGGAGAGACGGGGAAAAATCGTACTGGTATGTTGAAGTTATGAAGTCTGCATGATCACTCTCTTGAGAGAGGAGAAGGAAGACTCTGTAGATGTTCAAATAAGGCTCATGCAGAGAGCATGACCTCCAACATTAAGCCAGATACTTGTAGCCAATGTGCTTTTTATAACATCTTGCCTAATAGAGAGATCTGGAGAGCTTAAAAACGTGCATGTTTCAGGTAATCTTTCGGCTGGCCTCATAATGGTATTGCACTAATATGGATTGTTGAATTTTGCTTATGTCCAACACAGCTCCTTTTGCTTTTTTTGTGCAACAAAGGAAAAAAATCTTAATATTATTGCCCAGTGGTCATGGAGACTGAGGCACAAGTCTTCATTCCCTTACCAAGAGGAGAATTACAAAGATTACAAATTTGCTTACCCAAATCAGTCATGGTGCCACCCTTCACAGGAGCAGATTCAGAGTCTTTCTTGGTGTTGACTATGGAAGAGACAGCAAGGAAGGAATGCTTTACTGGGAAAACCTCTCAAAGGCTCTTCTCCACTACCCTGCCACTGAAGATTTATTATTTGTTTTATTTATTTTTCGATTTATATCCTGCCTTTTTCCTACAAAGGGCTCAAGGCAGCTTACATCATTCTCCTCCTCCATCTTATCCCAGCAACAACCCTGTGAGGTAGGTTGGGCTGAGAGTCTGTGACTGGCCCAAAGTCACCCAGTTGGCTCCATGGCTGAGCAGGGACTAGAACCCAGATTGTCCGAGTCTCAGTCCCATGCTCTTAACCACCACACCACACTGGCTCTCATCTGGCTATGACAGAAGTATATCCTTAAAACTCAGATTTCACAGTACTGCATCTGCCTAACTCATCAAGCGAGTACAGTGAAGTAGCACTACTTGTGATGAAGGCTCCAGGGGGTACAACCTTGATGTATGGAATATAGGAAAAGGCTAACCTGTTTTTGGTAGTGTGACTTCTTCAACATTGGGGACGGGAGAAGGCTCATCCATGTCTTTCGTAAGGTCTTCTTGCTCCTCCTCACGATGGCCGCGCTTGGACTTTGTGTAGGGAGTGGAAGGCCTAAGGAGGAAGGGGAGAGAGCCAGTAAGGTATGATAGTGGCACCCCAGCATAAACAAAAACCCCTGGCTCTTTTGCAGGGATTTCTGAAGATTTCATTTATTCTTGGTTAGCATTCAGGTATTATCAAACTTTACTGATCAACATTGTTTACCTGAAAGGAAGAACAGTTCCTTTTCCAGCTTAAGTGCTAGTACTGGTAAGGAAGCATCTGGGTACTAATTCTACAGTTAATAAAAACAAAAGTGCTGATGTGAAGATAAATTCATGTGACCAATCCACAGAGACACATAAGGAGTGGAGTCAGGAGTACTGGCTAAACCAGCACCTGGAATGGACATGATAAAGGCATGGCCTCTAAATATGGAATGTGCTCTTGGCTATTCCAGGCCAGCCTCTCCCTGTAACTTGGGCCCTCAGGACTTTCATAAGAGGAGGGCTGACTGCAAAAAAGTTGTCCTGGCTTTTGTAAGCTCTTGTCTTCCTAAAGAGACCAGGCAGACAAAAAAGGAGGACAAAAAGTCCACAAATACACAGAATCACTCTTGGCTGCAGCTGTTTCATATCCAAGCAGAAAAGAAAAGCTCATCCTCACCCTTTCTTGGCATTCTTTTTCTTAGCTTCTGGAGTAGGTGAAGGAGAGGGAGAACGCTTCCTTTTCTTATAGTTTCCCCCCTTCTTGTCCCTTCGGTCCGAGTCTGGACTGTTAACCTAAAGATGAAAGGTGGCAATTCTGTTAGCAGCAAGTAGCAGTGATCAGTCTCCGCTGAGGGAGCAGAAAGCGGACATTTATCAGGGTTCTACTCCTGTCCTTCAATAATAATTATTTTACGGCTGGAAAATACATTACCAAGATCTCAGCAGTCAAAGAGACACAGCACAGTAAACAGCCTCTTATCATGCATCTGTTGCTGGATTGTACCACACTTGATTGCAAGAGTGACTTGCCTCCTTCACTGAATGACAAAACACTTTATATATCCAAAAGAAGTCTTGGGTGGGGGAAGTGTAGCTTAGCTTTCTTCCTTACAAGTTAGCTTTCTCTGTTCAGGGAAGTATTCTTTATTTAGCTGGAGGAACTCTCAGACTTCAGTTTCCCACTTTGTCCTGGACCCTTTTAAATACTAGACACAATGCTCTTGCAGAATAAGAACCCACAGTGTCTCCAAAAGTGGCATACCTCATCGGTGAGAGTCTTGGCAGATATTTTCTTCCTACGGGACACAGGGCTCTTCTCATCATTTACCTCGTAGTCTTCTTCATTCATCCACTCGTTGAAAGTATCTGTGTCCAGGATCCATTTAGCATGAACCTGGGTGTTGAGAAAAGAGAGGCCCATCACTGGGCACCTTGAAATGAGAAGAGAAAAAAATCTATTTCCCTGTCCTAAGCTGCAGTCACAGAAACAGAACCAAATGATGTTTCTGGCACAGAGGATATAATCTAGTCAGAGAAGATTTACAGTACCTTTCTATAATAGCTGCTAGGAATGATCTAATCCCAAACTCCAGCTATACTCAGTCACCAAATGAAGACAACCCTTTACCTTACGGGGTTTCTCTGGTGTGGGGGCATCCTCCACAGGGGCTTCAATTTCACTTGCTGGGATCCAGGTGTCATAACTATGAAGGAAAGCAAATACTGATTAAGGAATGAATTCCAAAACTCACCTGCACACTAAAACTCATCTCAAGATATGGGCACAGAGAGCAAACCACAAATCTATCTATATTGCACTATCACAGAAAGGGAAAACCTACGCTCAAGCAATTCAGATTCTAGAGACTTGTATTTGGCTATAACAGAGAATATACATTAGAAGCATGAACTATAATTCACAAAAGTTACCAGAAGAAATATGGCTCTTCTTACACCAAGCGCCATGCTGCCGCTTATGTTTCCTGGGGAGCGCACGGGTGCCGCCATTGAGGTGGTTATGGGCAGGGGACGTAACAGCGTTGGGAGCTTAACGTGTCCGCATAGAAGAAGGAGGGACAGATTGCTGACACCTGTCCCTACTTCTGGTTTTGCTCCCAGCCAGAGGGTGCCAGGGAGTCTCGTCAGTCGCCCCTCCGGCCTGACGGTGCTGTTGCTTAATGCCAGGTCGGTCAATAACAAATCTGCCCTCATCCAGGACCTGATTGTGGATGAGGGGGCCGACCTGGTCTGCATAACGGAGACCTGGGCGGGAGAGGGGGGGGATGTTGCCCTCTCCCAAGTGTGCCCGCCCGGGTATCTGGTCCAGCACTGCTCACGGCCGGAGGGGAGGGGAGGGGGGGTCGCTTTGGTTTACCGAGCCTCCATCTCCCTCACGGGACTTCCGGTCCCTTCGAGACCAGGGCTGGAGTGTCTCTACTTGGTGTTGGGCGACCGAGACAGATTGGGGATTCTGTTGGTGTACCGTGCACCCTTCTGCCCAACAGTCTCCCTGCCTGAGCTGACGGAGACTGTCTCGGACCTGGTGTTGAGGACCCCCAGGATGTTGGTCCTGGGGGACTTCAATCTCCATGCCGAGGCTAGTCTGACCGGGGCGGCTCAGGACTTCATGGCCTCCATGACGGCCATGGGGCTGTCTCAACATGTCACCGGCCCCACCCATGAACGGGGACACACTCTGGACCTGGTTTTCTCGACGGGACAGGAAGAGGGTGGTCTGAGGGTGAGTAACTTATGCTTGACTCCCCTGTCATGGTCAGATCACTTCCTGGTGAGGTTTATGCTCGAGAGCGACTTCTCCCTCTGTAAGGGTGCGGACCCGATTATGTGGGTCCGCCCCCGGAGCCGGATGGATCCAGAAGGATTCCTGAAGGCCCTGGGGGAGTTTCCGGCTGACAAGACGGGTGCTCCTGTCGAGGCTCTGGTCGAACTGTGGAATGGGGAGATGACCAGGGCTGTAGACACGATCGCTCCTAAGCGTCCTCTCCCACCGGGCAGAGCCCGCTCTTCCCCTTGGTATACTCCTGAATTGAGGGCGATGAAGCAGGTTGGGAGACGACTAGAGCGTAGGTGGAGGAAATCACGAGATGAATCTGACCGAACACACTTAAGAGCCCACTATCGGGCCTATGCTGTGGCGGTGAGGGCGGCAAAAAAGAGATTCTTTTCCGCTTCCATTGCCTCCTCACAATGCCGTCCAGCGGAGCTCTTTCGAGTGGTGCAAGGCCTGGTCCGTCCAGGTCCAAAGGAAGACCTGATTCCACCCTCAAAGGCCCGCTGTGACGACTTTGCCAGGCATTTCAGGGAGAAAATCGCTCAGATTCGTCACGAGCTGGACACCACTATTGATTCAGAGGTTTCAAAGGAGACACCAACGCTGCCGTCTGGTCCAGATTTATTGGATGAATTTCAGTTACTGCGGCCCGATGATGTGGACAAGGTGCTTGGGCGAGTACATCCAACCACTTGCCTTTTGGACCCTTGCCCGTCTTGGTTAATAAATGATTCCAAGCACGGGATTGGAACCTGGATCTTGGAAGTGGTTAACGCTTCTCTGAGGGAGGGTCGGGTGCCTGCCCCTTTGAAGGAGGCGGTAGTCCGACCGGTCCTGAAGAAGGCGTCACTGGATCCAGAGATGGCCACTAATTATAGACCAGTGGCCAACATCCCGTTTCTGGGCAAGGTGTTAGAGCGAGTGGTGGCGGGACAACTCCAAGCACTCTTGGATGAAACTGATTATCTGGACCCATTGCAGTCCGGCTTCAGACCCGGGTATGGTACTGAATCTGCCTTGGTCGCCCTGTATGATGACCTGTGCAGGGAGGACAGGGGGAGTGCGTCCCTGTTGGTTCTGCTGGACCTCTCAGCGGCTTTCGATACCATCGACCATGGTATCCTTCTGGATAGGCTTGCGGGATTGGGGGTTGGAGGCACTGCTTTGCAGTGGTTCCGCTCCTATCTCAATGGCCGGTTCCAGAAGGTGGTGCTGGGGGACTATGGCTCTGCGCCATGGCAGCTATGCCATGGAGTACCGCAGGGGTCCATTTTGTCCCCTTTGCTGTTCAACATATACATGAAACCGCTGGGAGAGGTCATCAGGAGGTGTGGGCTGCGGAACCATCAGTACGCTGATGATACCCAGCTCTACCTCTCATTTTCCACCAATCCAGGTGAGGCAGTGGCTGTGCTGAACCGGTGCCTGGCCGAGGTAATGGGCTGGATGAGGGCCAATAAACTGAAGCTCAATCCAGACAAGACGGAGGTCCTGTTGGTTGGTGGATCGAGCTTCGGAGAGGGTGAATTGAACCTTGTCCTGAATGGGGTTGCACTCCCTCTTAGGGACAAGGTTCGCAGCTTGGGAGTGCTCCTCGACCCAGAGCTTTCACTGGAAGCTCAGGTAACAGCAGTGGCGAGGAGCGCTTTCCTCCAGCTTCGGCTAATTCATCAGCTGCGCCCCTATCTGGAGAATGACTGCCTTGCGACAGTGACACATGCGTTGGTGACTTCCCGTCTGGACTTCTGTAACGCGCTCTACGTGGGGCTACCCTTGAAGACGGTCCGGATACTTCAATTGGTCCAAAATAGAGCTGCCAGGCTGCTGACGGGGACTGGACGTTATGTTCACATGACTCCAGTTCTCCGTCAGCTTCACTGGCTTCCCATTGAAGTCCGGGCCCAATTCAAGGTGTTGGTAATGACCTATAAAGCCCTAAACGGCTTGGGTCCTGGTTACCTGAAGGAGCGCTTACATCCTTATATGCCCAGCCGCCCCCTGAGATCGGCGGGAGAGGCCCTTCTCCAGGAGCCCTCCATGGAAGAAGTTAGGAGGGTGGTTACTCGGAGGAGGGCTTTCTCAGCGGTGGCGCCTAAGTTATGGAATGCGCTCCCCAGAGAGGTCCGCCTGGCGCCGTCGTTATTTGTTTTTCGGCGCCAGGCGAAGACCTTTTTATTTAAGCAGTATTTTAAATGTTAATATTATTGAATTTTATTTGGCCAGGGCGGCTTGTTTTATAGTGTATGTTTTATATTATATATTTGTATTTTATTGTATATATTTTAAAATGTTATTTTAATCTTTTTGTTGTAAGCCGCCCCGAGGCTTCGGCGAATGGGGCGGCATAAAAATGTTTTAATAAATAAATAAATAAATAATAAATAATAAGACTGAGAACAGCATAGAGGACTGAAGCAAAATCCTGCTCACCTGTCAGGATAGTAGCCCCAGTGCAGGAGGACTTGCTTGTCTCTCTTCATAATAGGCCGAACCCATTCTTCTACAAGGAAAAGTGCATACATTATTATCCAAGAATCAGTGTAAACTGACAATGCTTATTTCACGTCAGTAAGCTCCTTTGAGTTCCAGTAAACTAAGTAGAATATGATCTTCTAAACAGGAAAGAATGGCTACACGCATATTAACTTGCCTATGCCCTGAAATCATGTTCAGAGGCTCCCCCCTGGACAAACCCATCATCTGAAGCAAGTCAGGTAGCAACTGGAAGCATGGTCCTCTTGTTAGTGGAGTTCTGTTTGTGGAATTCCCTCCCCAGGCAACATTAACTATCACTTGCACTGATATCCTTTCAGGCAACCGTTCTGTTATTGTCAGGCTTTTCAAGTCTGTTTTTTAAACTACTGCTTGCATTGCTTTGGGTTTTATGTCTACTATATTTTGATTTTTATACTATTTTAAGTGGGGGAAATGGTTAGAGGGCAGAATATTCAGTTTTAAATAAATTAAAATGAAGTAATGATGTAGCACATAGTGGGCATTTAGGCAGTCAGCCACAGTTAGATGAGCAGAGAAATATTCATTCGGTTAATGCTCATGTGAGTGCCACAAGACACGAGGACAGAACTATCTAATTCTATGTGTTTCTCATTTTCAACTAACAGATTTTTGGATAATACAAGCAGGAATGCCTAGATGCAATACAAAAGGAAGTATTTCTAAGCTTTATGAGCAAATGATCAAAACCTTCCTCTCACTAACCGACACGGGTTCAAATAAACTACACAGAGTGCTACAGACGTAAGGATGGTATTATCAATGAACTCCAGTTTCCTAGGGAGACCTATGAAGTACCATCTGCATAATCACCACCAGCACTACACCACCAAAGTACCCTGAGCTCCAGGCACTTTCAAAGTATAAAACCACAGACAGACCCTGTCTGCAAGATGAATTGCCTAACAAAACAGAAAGGTTGAGAAATATCTCAAGAAAGAGAAGGACCATTGTAATACAGACAATGCATTCTGTCTGAGACTGATATATTTTGGGATTTGCAAAGCAACAACTGTACAGTATTCTGAACATGAAAATGTGCTATAGAAATATTTTATATTTTTACAACTGTGTACATCCCTCCTTTCCTTCACTGCTACAACTCAGTCCCTCCCTCTTTTATTAACAAGCTCCTTTGCTGTTTTAAACACAATCTCTTTCACTCTGGTCATACATGTGCCACTTCCCTATAAAGCTACCAGGAAAAGTCCACACAGAACCTTCAATGAACAGCACTGCATTCTGTCAAACTGTTCAGCAGGACAGCCAAATGCAATCCCAAGTGGCATAATCTAAAATACCACAATAGTGCTGGCCCAAAATATAGACTGAAGTCTCACCTTCCTCTAGGCTACTAGGAACAGGGAAGACGATATGGGAAGCATTGTTCTTATCTTCAGTTACCGTTCCCTGAAAAGGGATCAAAAGGTCATACAGAACATCCAACCTCTGGGAGGGCATGCCTCATTAGACAGCAGTTGAGGGAATCAAAGGTGTCCAGAAAAGCTTGCTTAGTTAAATCCCACCCTACATCAAGATGCTGATAAATTAAGACTGCTATCCTTATTACTAGATCAGGAGCACTTAGGTCTGACAAAGGCATCTCATTCAGTAATCAGTCATCTTCGTCAGTCAGTCCTGACTCTGGTCCATGCATTCTCCTTTGCTTGATCTTTGATTTGGGACTTCCCCTTGGAACTCCTGTGACATACCACTTCTCCCCACAAACCAAAATCATCTTGCCTTTTCCACATACCATTCCCCCCACCCCCAGCTGCAACAGAGACTTTCAACGCATAACCGCAAATCGTTACCCTGATTCCTTTATATCCCTTGCTCCATCTCAGTATTCAGGCTGCAATCTCCTTGGGGTAGGAGCCTATCCTTTTTTCTTTTACTGCATGACACTAATGTATACATGCGATGCAATGCATGAGAGTGCAATATTACTAGTAGTTAATAACCTGCACTTAAGTATCAGTGGTGTTTTAACTCTAAGCGCCCGTCCTTGTTTTGGCACCTTCTGCTCAGCTGAAGATCCACGCTGAGTGCAGTCCATGCTGCACTGACATACTGAAACCACACTCACATGTTTGATCTTTTAAATAACATACTGAGGCTGCAATTGTATGAAGGTTCACCTCAGAGCAAGTACCACTTACAGAGTAAGTAAATACGGAACAGAATGAACCTCACTTCTAAATAAACATAGAACTGGGCTCCAAGGGCTCTGTATATATGAACATGTTTTAACTATGAGAATATCCTATTCTGCAGTTAATCATGTATTGCTCTTCAGTATAGTGATGTGAAACTGTGTAGATCCAAACAGCAGCTATAGTGCTAGACACCTAAACAAGAGTTTTAAATGCTGCCATCCTTATAATTCATCAGCAGAAGGGAGCTGATTAATTTATCATAGACAATTTTAAGAGCTAGGTTTATTAACTTTAATGTATTTTTAAGAACAATTAGAGCAGCGGTTCCCAAACTGTGTTCTATGGAACCTTAGGGTTCCACAAAAAATCTCAAAAATCAAATTTAAAACGGATTTTAAAATGAAACCACACAAAGCCAACTATTCAATTGTCAGTTGGCACTCAAGCAGCAAACAAGGAAATGCATCATGTCACATGGTTCCTAGGACTCTATTACGTAGTGTTGGGAATAACTGAAAAAATTCATTTGGGATATTATCATATAATAGCCCTATTTGTTTGTTATGCTTAAAATATTTTCTCTTTATTTCCAAACCTACTACATTATGCAAAGCATTCAGGTAATAGGAGCAGATGAAAGAAGGAAGAATGTTGTGGGTTCACACTGCTTAGTAAAAAATCAGGGACAGAGTTGGGTTCCATGGGGAAAAAATTGTCTTCAAAGAGGTTCCATGACCAAAAAAGTTTGGGAACTGCTGAATTAGAGAACTATCCTCTGGAGCCCTTCCTTGGAAACAAATTATCTGAGTGAATACTGTTTATAGAGCGACTGTAAGTCATTTTGCAAAACAAACAGATATGAAGCTATATTATACTTAATCTCAAAGTAAATACGCGTGCAACCAGCTCCAATCTTTCACCAAACAAACCTCCCTGTATAGTTTTGCAATACCAAGCAATGGCTATTCTGCAGTCTCACCCACCTGGTGTCGTTTGATTATATCTTTCAGTTTGGCCTGCAATTTAGGGTCAATGTCTGGATGCAAATAGATGTTAGGTCGGGAAAGGCAATTGTTCTGTGAAAGAAACACATAGGGCAAATTAACACCTGGCACCAAGAAGAAATGCTTCCTTTGTAAGGCGGAGAAAAGGAAGGAAGCCACTTTACCTGCACCAAAGATTTTTCAATGGTCATGAACATTTCCACATTGCGATCCATTCGTGATGGATTCTGGAAATCGAAACGCCGCCTTATTGGAAGAAAAGAGCAACCTTCATAAAAGTTCACATTTCAGAATTTAAAAAAAATCTGTAAGGAGGATAAGACAGGGAAACCTGATATCCGAACCAAGAACTGCTGTTCTTTCATGGGACGTGGTGAGAACAGTAAAGTGAGAGCTTACCATCCCTGGTCACTCTTGAATTTATAAGCTGCTGCAAGGATCTGACACAAGGCACCCCCAGCTTTGAAATCTAAGAAGCATTTAATCTGTAAGAGACACAGCCAAGTAAGGAGTTATATCACCTGCACCTACTTTAGACATCTACCTTCTCAATGACTACCATCATGACTTCCCCAGCTGTTTGGAGCACCTTGGAGAACAGATCTGATACTTTCTGTGAAAGACCAAAATACAACTACTGGAACTTCCTTTTGTATCAAACAAGAGGAAGTGAGTAAAATTTTTATTATTATATTTCTCTATCACCCAATAGCCAAAGCTCTCTGGGTGGGTAATAACAAATAAACTATAATGTAAGTGAAATTGAATTATATTTGCATTGCATATTGTGTAACTGTGAAGATATGATCTTTGTGGTTGTTTCTCTGCTAATCTGTATCAAACAATGGGTATGAAATAAACAGAAGTTATAAAACCTCACCTCTGGTCCCAATGAAATTGGGGGAGGCTTTTTTCCTTAAGGTTACTTACTGGGGGTGCAGTGGTAGGGAAACATTTTAGGGTTTAATGCAGCCTTGAACTAGATCCAAAGGTTCAACAGGCAACATATTAATCCACACTTTGGTGGAAATGTTGGTTGATTAAATGTTGTGTTACATAGTTTTATATAAGGTTTAAAATGGGTAGGCAACATTTCCTTTTCATGGCTGTTTATGTAGTCCTCACCTGGTCCCTGCCACAACTTTTGAATTCCCATGTATTCTGCTGAGAAATAAGGCTTATGGAGATGGTATATGTGCTTTCTCTCTCTGCAGAATGTTCCCTGCATCCCTTGTAGCACAGCAGAATTGCTGAAAACTCAGAAGTTGCCCATCCTGGCTTAAAAAACCATCCAAAATATACCAGAAGCAATTTCAGTGCACATTAGCTTAGTTCAAGACCTGTTAAAACTGCGTTTCTAGAGAAATTGATGTTTATTGTATTCTTCCCCTAAACATTAATTATTTTGAGGGATCCTACCAACATGGCACCGCATAATCATATGGGCAAGTAGGTGCCACGCAGTTCTTCAAAGAACTACAACCTGCTAAAGCATAAACTTTGTGTGTAAAATCACCAAGTTCTCCAGTTACAGGATCTCAGAACTGTTTCATACATTACATAGAATTAGATGTTACATTGTGGTGGTAAATTCTGGACATTATCCCATCAGGTTACAGTCAAGGGTTCTTTACCATTTTTTAATGCTTCCCTAAATAAAATGTTCTCCATGTGTATTAAAATGCCATATCATATCAAGCCACCTTGAGACTTTGGTAGTAAGTGGGATATAAATGGAAGTATATATAAATAAATACATACATATATACATAAACAAGAAAGATTTAGAACAGTCCTTTTCCTGTACTCAAGGAATATTTTACACAAGGAAGCAATTAAAATAACTCTACACCTGCAGTCTGTAGTGATAAAGTCCAGAATTCTAATACCTCAACTTCAGAATGTAACACTGGAAAATTAATTCCATCTGAGTGCGACTGACTGGCAATACAGTTATGACCCAATGACCAAAAGTCTGCCAAGTCGGGAAAGAGGTCAGCTCTTGCAAAACTGCTCAAAATATTTCCAAAAATGTGAAGCTGAGATGTATGCATATCTACTGCAATTTGCCCAAATCAAGATTCTAGATGTTGCTGTTGGTCTTGCTGCAGTATTTAACATTAGAAGCCTCCTCGTCTCACTGCATATGCACTCATTCAACTTTAGCCACCTTGAATTTTCTGACACTTCATCACAAGCTTGTGCAAACTGCAAAACAGAGGGCTAAATTTTCTCCAGATTTCCCTGCTTTCAAAAATATACAAATCATCGCCTGTTTCAAAAATGAAAGTCTGCATGCTGGCTCAGATAGTCTGCAACAGTGTGAAGCTGATGGAATGGAATATGTGGGGCCGAGTCAAGAAAATCCACTGGATTTTCACCCTGCTATCAAATTGCTCACACATCCCTATATTAGCTTATTAGCTCATTCTGTATAAGGTAGAACAGTTCTTAGAGAGAATGACAGGAAAGATTTCCAGCAAAGAGACTGAGCCAGGTGACCCTACCAGGCTAGATGGCCACTGTTCTGATTAAACCAGCTTCTGATACAATCAAGTCTAATGAGAGCTTTTTCTTCCTCTATCACATAGAGATCAAGACAGTTGTGGTACTCACTGGTAACTTTGTTAGTGGTGCATTGCTGACATGTTTCCCAAATACCTCCTCTTGGAACTGAAGCAGCTGCACAACTAGACTGGACAATGACTTATTGGTAGGTGGCTCTGCTTGGATATACTGTGGGAAGAAAGATTGAGAATTTAGAACAATACTGCCCAGAATCTCCTACCAGGAGCTCTTTGAAACCACAACCAAACACAACTACCCTAAAGTATCCTAAAGTGAATTACACTGGGAGCACCAGCACCACTTTTTTTCTTTAATTTTTCTATTACATTTCTATACCGCTCCATTGTTGAAGCTCCCTGGACAACAACTGAAGCCATAAAATAAAAATATAACAAAATATAATATAAAAGCTTAAAACCGCAGTATAAAACCAAAATGAAAAATTAAGACCAAAATAAAAATCTAGCAGCAGTGTAAAGATTTAAACACAAAAATATTTAAAAACAAGAAAAACTGAAATACTAACTGCTTCAAAAGCTATTAGTTTTTACTTTTTCTAGAAGGAAAAGAAAAAAGGCAATGGGAAAAGAAAGGGAAAAGGTGTGCTTGTACAGAAAAATATTAAAAATGGATCTTATGTTGCAAACTACTGTTAAGAGAAGATTTCCAGTCTCAGTGAAAGAGATGCTTCAACAAACAACATGCCTACAGAAATCTAGCTCCCCAACACAAAGACATATTCTATCATTTATATGCATCAGATGCCATTCCAAACACATTTACAAGGGAGTAAACCCTACTGCACCATAAGGGAGGCTGAGCGCCGAAGAATTGAGGCCTTTGAATTGTGGTGCTGGAGAAGACTCCCACGAGTCCCTTGGACAGCAAGGCGATCAAACCAGTCAGTCTTAGAGAAGATCAACCCTGACTGCTCTTTAGAAGGCCAGATACTGAAGATGAAACTCAAATACTTTGGCCACCTAATGAGAAGGAAGGACTCCCTGGAGAAGAGCCTAATGCTAGGAACAATTGATGGCAAAAGAAGGAGGGGACGGCAGAGAATGAGGTGGCTGAGCTTAAGTGGACTCCAGGGATGGTGGAGGACAGGAAGGCCTGTGGGAATGTTGTTCATGGGGTCTTGATGGGTCAGATGCGACTTCAAGGCTAACAACAACAACAAACCCTATTGGACACAATGGAACTTACTTCTAAGTAAACACATATACATAATAAACATGCATACATCGTGCTGATAAGCAGTGTTTAATTTCTACAAGAAGCATAGTGCTAAACAAAGCTGTTTCCAGCTTCCAAAAATGTGCAACCAAAATAGAGAACTCTGAAAACTATGTTGGAATCTCTCTAGCAAAACAGAACTCTACCTACCTTTAACACTAACAATTTCTCTTCATTTCCAATTTGTTTTGTTTATGCCATGAGCAATTTAGATACTTTGCAAACATATCATTTTCCATGTTTGCATTTTCCAATAACAATTTAAAAACACGGACAATGAGACTCTCAGTTCCAAAGTATCACAGTCGTTTTGGATGCTAACTACGTATCAGTTCTGGAGCACACATAAAAGACTGCCATCAATATTCTTTAACCATTCTGCAGTTATGTTGTAGTACCTTTTAGTCCACATTCCTGCCTGGGAATATTTTCATAAAGTACACTTGTCAGTGATGTTCTCATACAACACAATTACCACTGATCTGACCTTGTTCGTAGTGTTACTTGTTGAATATTTCAAGTCTCAAAAATTATGTTCCCAGAAAAAACTTCACTGGGGTCTCAACAATCAGAACTCCAGGACATGAGATAATTATACAATTATAAGCTTCTATACACAAAGTTTCTATGAAATACATGGTGTGGAAGAACTGCAGAGTTCTGGCACTCCGGTTTTTAGACTGTTTCTTCTTAGTTGCCTTGTCTATTGTCCTGACCCTTGAAACTTGTATCCTCTATATGTGATGAGACACTGAAGTTATCTTTCTGCTATAGAAGGGCAGGGGCACCATTTCAGATTTGGGAGCATTGAGGAAGAGTCTTAACAAAAGTCTGATCTTGGACATATTCATAATGAACAATACAATCATGCTATATGTGCAACACATTTACTCAGAAGTAATTCTCACTGTGCTCAGAGATACTCATAGATAAGGGTGCACTGGAATGCAGCCTGTTTAAAAAACAATGTATTTAAAGCACATTTATTGTGATTACTTTTTATATCTTATAAACAGCAACATACATTATTGTATTTATACTCCATCTTTCTTCCTCTTGCAAGAAACCCATGGCTTGTACGAGTCTCCTTCTCCTCATTCTAACCTACATCTAAAACAACCTTGTGAGGCAGGTTAGGCTGAGAGTCTGTGACTGGTCCAAAAATCACCCAGTGAGCTTCCAGGATGAATGAGGGCTAGAACCATGGTCTCCCAACTCCCAGTCCAGTGCTATTAATTACTGTACCACACTGGCTCTCATATAGCAGCCTTCTCCAACCTAGTACACTTCAGATGTTTTGAATTACAACTCCTACTGGTTATGCTGCTGGGGTTAATGAAACTTGTAGTCCAAAACATCTGGAAGCCACCAGCTTGGGGAAAGCTGTTATAATCCAAACTGGATCAGTCACTCTTTTTTAAGAAAAGCGATTTGTGTTTAAGCATCACTCCCACCCTCCCTAAAGTGCACCCCTATAAAGCTCCTTCTCAATTTGCCTCACATAAAAGTACTAGCTAGGTATATGTAAACACTGATTTTGCTTCTGCGCCTGGATAATGTTAACTATGTCTAAAAACAAACAGATAAAATAAAAAGTAAGTTGTACACTGCTAGCAAGCTTCCAATATCATGGGGCGCAGAAATAAGGCCCATTAGCATTGGTTTTCTTCAGTTTTCATTGCAGACAGCAGGGGACTGGCAAGAGATTTGAACTTGCAGGGACACAGTGTACATCAGGTCACATGCTGTCACTCCATACACAGAGGGCTGTCTGGTGACTCAGCCACTCTCTCACTCAAAAGTTCAAAGGTAAGAGCCTGGGAACGAAGGCCCATGCTTCCTGCAGAAAAGATACAGCCGGCTCTGCTCCACGTGCCTTCCTTGGAGAATGCTCCACATGTCCCATCTCCCATAGGCCATTCCCATTATACATACACAGACACCAGCATCTAGCCTCCTGTATGCGGCAGAGAGGGGGACAGAAATCTATAGGAAAAATTCTCAGTTCATCTCAGTTTCTAGGCTTTTGGCCCTACTCAGTGACCAGAGACCTAAGAGATCAAAGCTGAAAAGAGCAGGAGACCTAATATGCACATGACACTGGCAGAGGCAACACAACCATCTGAGTTCTGGGGGAGTGGGGGGGGGTCGAGATGCAGAATCCCTTCTCGAATATTGCTTGCTGTATGATTGAAGTTGAGAGATTAAACTGCAGCAGACAAAGCATTTCCTATTTCTGTTGACAGGAATCCACATTAGAACCAATGCATGGAAGCAAGTAGGGCACCCAAAGATTAACAGGGTGGCAGAGAATCTCTCCAGGGGAAATACCAACAGAACCCAACCTCCACAATACATCCTACTTCCAGAAGGCACGCACCTCACTTCCCGTACATTTTGGCAGGCCAAAGACCACTGTTACAACAGGTTGGAAGAGTATTGAGGTCAATTGTGGATGAGCAATTCCTAAAGAACTAATACACAAGCATGAAAGGTCAGTTAATGTATCTATAAATGTAAGTCTCAATAACCAGAAAGAGAAGAATCTGTGCATAAAAACTGGCTAGAAATGGAAGAAATGCTTAGTGAGATGTAGGAAGGGAGACAATAGGGCATGCATAGGGCAGCAGGTGAAACCAGCAAGACACCGAGGTCAAAAAGGAAGTCAGCCTCCCCTCGGATGTTGAAGAAAAACAGTCTGAGCCACCAGAGTTGTCAAATTCGGGCTTTGCTTTTCCAGAAGGCGACAGTGAGTTCCGGAGGGGCAAACGAGGGAACTTAAATGGTTTGCGATTTATTTAGGCTGAAAGGAGAACCCAGCGCTAGGCGACGGAATCCGTGGGGTGAAAGGGAGAGTTTCATACGCGAGAGGGCGGCTCTCGGTCGCACTTAGAGACCCCTCCAGCAGTTCCACTGACCCCACCCCATCCCACCTCTCGGGGAGAGGGGGAAGAAGCCAAGCTGCATCTCTTCGGTCTGCGTGTCCCCGTCCCTTCCAATTCTGTAATTCCTTCGCCCCCACCTCACCTAACCCCGCCCCGCCCCGCCGCCCCTGCTGAACCCAGGCCGTGGTGTGGGAAACAGGGCGACGTGTGCAATGCACCGTGGGGTGGCTGCTGAGCACATTTCCGACGGCGAGGTCACTGCAGAAGAGAGCCGGCGGGGCAGGCGAGGAGATTAAGCGCCCTTTCCCTCCCTTGGGAGCTTCCCAAAGGTGTCGCCCAAACGGCAGGGTGGAGCAAAGGCAGGCCCAGGCCTGGGCAGGCCGGTACCTTTTTGTAGTTCTTGCCCAACCAGACGCGCGCGCTGTCGAACTGGCTAACGGTGTCTGAGGCCTCGTAGTACTTGACGTTAGGGCCGCCGTCCTTCTTCCGCACCGCCATTTTCCCAGCGCCGCCGGCCTGGGCCGCGTCGCTTCGCCCCTCTCACGCTCCCTGGAACGCCGCCGCGGCTGCGAGGCCCTCGTGGCGCCCTCTGCCGGCCCCTTGCGATTCGGCGCTCTGCCGCTGCTCGCAGGCGCAGCGACCCCTGCTGGCAGGAAAAATGCTCTCGCCTCGGCCGCCTCGCCTGCTCCCTGCCGCCGAAAAGCCGCAACTACCGAGTGGCTTCCCGGGGAATGGTGGGGAGAGCGGGAGGGGAGATGCCCGAACGGGCCTACACAAGGACCCTCCGCTAACGGAAATCGTAATCGTGATCATCATCATAAGTAGCAATAGTAGTACTACCATGAGTCATCATCTTATATGATAAGTAGTAATTTAATGTATTGTTAGGTATTTTTTCTCCTTGTCTCATAATGCTAGAACTGGAGACCACCCCGTGAAACTGACTCATGGGAGATTCAGGTAAAAGGAAGGGCTTTTTCACACTGCGCATGGTTAACCGGTGGAATTCACTTCCACGCGATGCAGTGATGGCTACCAATTTGGATGGCTTTGAAAGGAGACTGGACACTGTTATGGGGAATAAGGCTATCAATGGTTACCAGTCTGAACAGCTACACACTCCCTCTAGTATCAGAGGCTGTATGCCCATGTGTACCAATTGTGGGGAATATGGGCGAGAGGGTATTGTTGCACTCCCATCCTGTTTGTGGGGTTCCCCTGAGCAGCTGCTTTGCTGCTATGTGAGCAGAATGGAGGCCTAGAAAGGCTAAAAGCATCTGCTAGGTGCTATGAATATTCAGGCACACCTAGGATTCTGAAACAAAGAAGCAAAATGCTGCCCCTCATTTCTGAACATAAAAGCTGGCTGTTATCCGTAAGAAAAAAATTACTGTGAGGGATGCAGTGGAAAAACACTAGGCAGGTGAGGGCTAGCTATTAACATCTCCTTCAGGATTCCAAATTGGCCCATCACAAAATTACTTTTCTTACGGCAAGCAGCCTTCCACATTTTAATATATGCATTTCAGTATGCCATGTACCTTGGCTCTCAGACTTTCATGATATCAGAATCAGTTCACATGTTGCAAGGCAGTCATATTTCACTGCTCATACAATCATGTTTGCCTGACTGCATACCAAATGCATAAAAAATAGGTGTGCACCCCAACCGTGGCGACTTCTTTTCTTTTATAACTTCTCTTATATCTTTTATATTTTTTATTTATTTTATATTGTTAATTTTAATTTTATATTGTTGTTTTTGTATTGTATTGTATTTTATTGTGTTGTAAGCCGCCCCGAGGCTTCGGCAAGGGGCGGCATAGAAATGTTCTAATAAATAAATAAATAAATAAAATAAACCGTGCACTGGACATGTGTCATGGTGCCATGGCCAATCATTGTTCTACTGCGTGTGAGCCAGAAGATATATTTCCAGAAGTTTTAGGATATATTTCCTAGAAGTTCCTGCCAGCATAGCCACTGATCGAGAATGCTGGGACCTGAAGCATCTTGGAGATCTGCTTCTGCCCACCCCTGACCTAAGCAGATTCCATGTTCAAAATCTCAATATGTCCATTTCACTGACAGGATATCTAAAAGCTAAAAGCAACAAAAAAGCCTTCTTCAGGTATGTCCAGAGTAAAAGACAGAGAAAAAAAAGGGGGTTCAACTATTCAGTGTGGATAGCAAAATGATAACAGATGACAAAGAAAAGGCAGAAGTGCTCAGTTCCTACTTAGACTCAGTTTTCTCCCAAAAGAAGATCTATGACCTTCCTAAGGAAGGGGAAATACAAGCTGCAGGAGAAGGATGGTAGCTCAAGATTGATAAGCAAATAGTCAAGGATCATCTAATTGGGTTGAATGATGTCAAATTTCCAGGGACCAATGAACTCCACCCTAGAGTCATCAAGGAGCTGGTGGAAGAACTCTCAGAATCACTATCCATTATGTTTGAGAAATCATGGAGGACAGAAGAAGTGTCAGTTGACTAGAGAAGGGCTAATATTGTCCCATCTTCAAGAAAGGAAAAAAAGAGCAGCCTGGGAAACTGCTGACCAGTCGGTCTGACATCAATCCCTGGGAAAATTCTGGAGCAGATTATGGAACAGTCAGTCTGCAACACCTTGAAAACAATGCACTGATTACTAAGAGCCAAAATGGATTTGTCAAGAACAAACCCTGCCAGAATAATCTGATTTTGTTTTTTGACTGGGTAACCTCCCTGATGGACTGTGGGAATGCTGCAGGCATAATTGATCCTGACTTTAGCAAAGCTTTTGATAAAGTGCCGCATGATATCCTGATTAGCAAACTAACAAAAAGTGGTCCACATGGAGCAGCAACCGTCAGGTGGATCCACAGTTGGCTACAGAATTGGACTCAAAGAGTGCTCATCAATGGCACCTGCTCAAACTGAAGAGAGGCAACAAGTGGGGTTCTGCAGGGTTCAGTTCTCTTCAAGATTTTTAGTAATGATTTGGATAAGGAAGTGCAGAGAATGCTTATCATATTTGCAGATGACACAGACCTGGATGGGATAGCTAATACCCTGGAAGACAAGATTCAAATGATCTTGATAGGTTGAAATACTGGGCTGAAGACAACAGAATGAACTTCAATCAGGACGAATACGTGGTTCTACATCGAGGAAAAGAAACCAAATGTATTGTTACAAAATGTGGAATACTTGGCTCAACAATACTGCAAGTGAGGATGATTGGAATCATTGTAGATCACAAGCTGAATATGAGTCAACAATGTGATATGGCTGCAAAAAAGGGCAAATGCTATTTTAGGTTGCATTAGTAGAAATATCACTTCCAAATCACATGAAGTACTAGTTTCCCTTTACTCAGCATTTGCTTAGGCCTCATCTGGAATACTCTGTCCAGTTCTGGGCAACACCGCTTAAGAAAGATGCATACATGCTGGAAAACATTCAGAGGAGGGTAACAAGGATGATCCAGGGACTGGAAGCACTCTCTTTGCCCTGTGAAGAGAGACTGAAATAACTGGGCAGGTTTAGGCTCAAGAATAAAAGACTAAGGGGAGATATGATAGCATTCTCCAAGTACTTGAAAGGCTGGCACAAAGAGGAAGGACAGGATCTCTTCTCTGTCATCCCAGAGTGCACGACATGGAATAACCAGTTCAAGTGACAGCCAGCCAGGTTCCAGGTGAGTGTCAAGAAGAACTTCCTGACTGTTATAGTAGTATGACAGTTACTTAGGGAGCCAGTTACTTAGGGATGTTGTGGGCCCTCCCACATTAGAGGCAACTGGAAAGCGATCCAAGAGGGATGGTTGACCTTAGAGTCCTGCACCGAGTGGGGGTGGGGTGGGGGGTTAGACCCAGTGGTCCTCTGGCCCCTTCCAACTCTGCTGTTCTATGATTCTATGAAACTGATTCATAACATAATATTTTATTCAGCAATAAGAAAGAACCCCTAGCTGTACTTGTTGCTGGAAATAACAGGAGAAGTGTCCCCGATTCATTCACTGCAAAGAAAAGAAGAAAGCAGCTAGAAAATAACAAGTTGCAGCTCCAATTTGATCAGGTGGTAGTGGGGTGTTGTTCAGAGAATTCAGGGTGTAGAGAGCTCCTTGGGGAGCTGTGAGTCACTAAGGCCACTCTGTTGGGTTTTTTGGGGGGACAAACTGCCATTTAACTCCTGTCCCCAAACTGTTTCCCACTGAGGTAATTCCACCTGGCATTTCTGTGATTTTTTGAAAAGTTTATGCCTGAATCTGATTGTTTTCCTGTCCCTTCTCCATTCTTTCTTCCCATAGTATCACATCTATTAGACCGTAAACCTGCAGGAATTGGCTGTGTATTTTTTTTCTTTCTAGAGCACTTTGAAAACTTAAGCTGTTTCACAAACTCCTCTCTTCTCCCTTGGTGCTTGCTCAGGCTAAGGAACTGATAACCCAACCCAAATCTCTATTTAGGGTCAGTAGTTTTAGACTCCATGATCTTGCAGCCTTGAGTTCAGGCACTTTCCATACCACAGAATTGCTTCCTTCCTGCTTAAGATTATTTAATGTACATAAATTACCCCCTAACACAGTTTAGCTGATTCCCTTTAACCTTTTCATTGCATCATTATGGATGAACATTTTAAGCCATTTCTTGTATATGCCTGTTCAGATGTACATCCCAGATTTCAGCTGCCAGGGAAGTGAGCATGTAGCTTAAAGGTGCAATCCTATGGTTGGGGAGGGAGGATGTCCTACAATCCCCCATACCTCAAACACGTGGCTATCTGAGGCATGTTGGGAGGTTGAGGTGTTTTACCCATCTAAACATGCAAGGGATTGTGACCTTAATTAATCTGGAGTACTTAACAAGGATCGTGAATGTGTCCTATTAGCCAGATAACGTAAGATACAAGAGTAGCATCACATATCATCAGAAGGATTTAGAATGATTTGCAATTATTATATTTCATAATTATATAACTATTAAAATTGTAATATAAGGAGCCATTTTTGTTAAGAGGTGGCATAGAAATCTAACAAACAAATGTAGAGGATTTATCTCTATTCTGGCATGTATAAATAATATTAAGAGGAACCACCTCTGAGAAGGTGTGGAATAAAATTCCCATAGGCAGTTCTTCTGGGGCACCACAACATCCCATCACATATTAGGAAAGAGCTGTTTCAGCCAGAGAAGGGTGGCATTTTTGTTCTTAGCAAATGAAATCTTGTACTTGAAGGATGTAGAGAGGCAGGTGATGCTTCAGCATTCTTGAGTAATGCATCCAGAGGGGTGTCTGTGTGTGGTGGATTATGATATTCTCGAGGATGTGTGTGCATGGATGAGGGTATAATTTCCAAACAAGGGCATTTTAGGCTTACTGCAGAGCTTGGCCTCAGTAGAAACTTTTCCCATACCTGTAGATGTCGAGGCAGGGGGCAACAAAAGACGTAGCAAATTGCCCACGATTTAATGTATGCTTTTTTAAAAATTCCGGTTTTGAGGGAGAGAACTCTGTACATGTGCTGGAGCTCTTTTCTAGCATCTCTTCACAGGGCCATCGAGGAG